TTTTCAAAATAAAACATCTTTCGTATTCCGAAATAAATAAAACGGAATTAAGGCAAGTTCTTTCTGTGCGGCCCGGTACCAAATGCCCGGCGGACCGGTACCGGTCCGCGGACCGGCGGTTGGGGACCCCTGCCTTAAACCATTCAAGAATCAGATTTACACAAAGACGTAATCTTTGAGTGTACCACTTTGCATATTCACACATTGTACCGTTGAACCATTAAGTTCAAACCGGGACACGGATCAATCTGATTTGTTGAGATGATGGAACAGTTGTCCCTGTACATATTGGAAATTGAAATAATCCTCTTCAAGGTCTAGCTATGACCATTATTTTTTCAGTCTCAAGAGCTAAATAAAATTGTATGTTCAGAAGTAATCCTCATCCCCTGCATTTTTTCCACAAAATTTCAGTCAATATTCAAACTGTAAAACTTTAGGTCCATTCGCCTTCAGGTGGTCCACTCTACACAGTTCATATCTATTGATGCAAAATTCTAAATCCCATCACACAGATCTCCACCCCCCTCCTCGACACCAAGGCACAGAGATCCAGGGCAGACTTGGGCAAGCAGCGCATCCGATCACGCCCATCACGTTCCAGCCGTTCGCAACCATCTACGATCGAGACTCCGGACTGGAGGTCTTGTGACTCCACAGGTCATCCTGAATCTCATTTTCCATATATGTAGCTTGGATGTTTGTTTTAAATTGGGTCGCTAGCTTCACATCCTAATGTATAATGAAACTTTCTGCTGATTTCAGATGGAGGGCAAAGGGAGTCTGACTCAGAGGAGGAACAGCCAAAACTGAGGATCGCCCCTTCTCCTTCTGCCTCCCGAAAGGTCCCTGTGTTTCCTGGCGTCAGCCCATTAACCCTCATTGTAAGTTCAAGGAGAGCTCATTTAGATGTTTGTCTTTTAGGATTTTGCATCAGCCAAAGGCTGAGCTCCAACATTTGTTTATAGAGTAGTTATACAAGTGAGTTAATGTTTCCTGCATACCAAATATTGTATGCTCACGACCCACTTTTGGGTCTTGACCCACCAATTGAGAATCACTGGTGTAGTATCACAGTGTGATGATACTGAACTATACACACTACCTTAGGCTCAGATGAAAAAGAGAGCAGAAGGGCGAGAGGAGACTGAAGACAACAAGGAAAGTCCAAATGATGAAGTGGTGCCACCTCCTTCCCCACTGCCCCGCCTTCCTCGCTCTGCTGCCCAGCTTGCCGGAGCCGCACGAGTACTTCCACCCATAGGCGCCACAGATGGAGGGTAAGAGTAGCATAAAACAAAAGATAAGTGCTGGGTAAATAAGTGTTCTTGCTTCCCCCCCCCCCCACAAAATCTTTCTGTGTGTCCCTCAGTGCGGTCTCTCCAGCTTGGCTGACAGAGCTGAAGTCTAAAAAGCGTATCAGTCAACACGAAGGGGAATGGTAGCTGAGCGGCAGGTGGCAGGTCAGGACTATGAGTCGAAAAAAAAAAAAAAGATGAAAATATGTTGTTCATTCATCAGAAATTTGTCACCTTTGCTGTGTGTTCTCCGTGTTTAAAAAGAAATGTATGTGAATGTTAGTCATTTGATGTCTTCTCTGGACTGTGTTCCCCATAGGAACCACCGTGCTAAAGGGCAGAATCCATCCATGTCAGATGTTTGTGCTGAGAGACACCTCACCGAGGTCTATATTTTGCACTTGAGTGCCTTATTTGTACATTTGAGCCAGATCTGAAATATGCAAAACGGAACGCAGGCCTTTTTGAAACGGAATATTTTCAGTCGTTGCAAACGATTAGTCCTGGAAATGATTTGCCAAGACTGTCTGACATTTTATAGTCATGGCAAGTACATGTTTGAACTAATGCTGCAAAGTCAACCAGTGATCGTCAACGAAATGCAGAACATGATGTAAATTGACAATTTTTTTTTCATTTTGTTCTTTGTTGCTGTTTGTCAACTGTTATTGACCGGGACTCATGCCATTCGGCCCGCCTCAGGAAATCCAGAGTCCCTCACAAGTTCTCGTCAATACAGATCACCCCTTGTCTTTAGTTGAACATAATTTGATCTTTCATGGTAAACATTTGCACTTTAAGAAATACGGTAAGAAATATGGTTATGTCCACCCTATCTTATGTTTGCCTCTACACAAAAGTGATCAGACAATCATTTTACTTATATTCAGAGTACAACAAAGTAATCCAAACACCTCATGATAACATCAGCAAGCTGAAGAGGAAGGCTTTTATGCTACCGCACCGTGTGAATATGTTTATCTACTTGAGATTTTTTCTTTTTTTATGTGCCTTTGTTTTCTAATGAAAAAACAATGACCGCCAGTCATTTATTTACATTTTGTTGCAATTTATTAAAAAGCTTTTCTATGAAATGTCATCGAGTGTAAGTTGTTATTTGTGGCAAAACCCCCTACATGATGATTCAGCTGATTAAATGAACACTTGTGACAGAAGTTGGCGCCGTAAGAGGAGAGTTAGCGTGCAAGCTGAAGAACCAGCCATGGAGCAGCCAGGTGTAGAGCAAGGTAGCTGGGTGTGGTCCAGATTGCTGAGTGAGACAGATCTCAGCTCATTCTCTTGGCTCGCTGGCAGAGCAAGTGCCCACTATAGGATCATGGTCAGGATGGCAGCACGGGCCGAGCTGGGCCGCATTCGCCAGGGACAGAGGGCAAGCCTATTGAGAAGCAGTGTGACGGACACAATGGGTGCGACAGACTTGCTGCATCAACAGGCTTTTTGCTGCTGTGGCCAGAAATAAACCATAAATACCCCCCTGGCCTCCACCGACTGCTCGCCAGGCCTCCACACCCACTCACGCACCCTCACACTAAGACAGACTGACAAGAAAGAAAAAGAACAACGCAAGACAGGGATATTGGCTTGTACCAGGTGCACTGACGGAAGCCATCCAGGTGAAAAAAAATATATGTGACCATCAAGATCCTTATCAAGTTTGTTTTTCCTACTTTCTAACGAGTTCTGCCTTATCTGCATCAGAATGCTTGCTTCCAAACAGTATGTACTATTAATGTGTAATTTGATTCTGCTAAGCCGCCATTGAATGAGATAAAAAAATGCCGCCTTCATCAACAATAATAAGCATGCGGTACTGTTAAAGGGATACCTCTTTGAATGTGTCAGTCAAAAATGAACAATTGTAAAGGCGGACTTTTTATGTTTGGATCTCATTAGATTGTGCAGCAGCCTCAAACGGTGCAGATGATGTTTTTGGAAATGTACTTAAAGCACTACTGTTTGGCTGTACAAGGCAATGAAACGACTTAAGATTCTACCTTGCAGAAATAATTGAAGCAAATCTAAAATGAGCCACGCAGACTACGACGGTGTGAGTGTGCCATATTGTTTGTCTACATTAGTGAAGACATATCAAATGTTAAATCGCATAGCACCAAACTAAGGAAAATGACAGATCAACAAGGAAGCCCAGACCAGTTACCTGCAGAGAAGGGCCAGGGAGGAGCTGGAGCCTCATATAAGGTACTTGAATGACACAAACTGAGTAAATAGGACTTGCCAAAAAGGACTTGGTCATTCATGTTAATATTTGTGTCATAGTTGACCATTTTCGAGTTGGAGAACTTCCGTGGAAAGAAAGTGGAATTGTCTGGCGAATGTAAAGATGTGCTGGAGAAGACACAGAAAGTTGGCTCCATCATTGTGGAATCTGGACCGTGAGTGATGCCTCTCCATTGAATAATTAAAGACCCCACCAACCAAAAAACACGGACGAATGTGTGTACGGTATTTTCTCTCCTGTGTTCCAGATGGATTGGTTTTGAACATCCACGTTTTGCAGGCGAGAAGTTTGTATTGGAGAAGGGGGAGTATCCCCGCTGGAGCACCTGGACCAACTGCCAGAGTCACTACTGTCTGAGCTCTTTCAGGCCCCTAAAAGTGGTCCGTATTCATAATGCCCATTGCCACGTCAACAAATACAACAGGAAATTCAAGCGAGTGTGTCTCTCTCCAGGACAGTGCAGATCACAAGCTGCACCTGTTTGAGAACGCAGGTTTTGAAGGCAGGAAAATGGAGATTGTTGACGATGATGTTCCCAGTCTGTGGGCTTATGGTTTCCAGGATCGAGTTGCCAGTGCTAAGGCCATCAACGGCACGTAAGATACAATCTCCTGGCTTTTCGGTATTATCTGCACGGTTGAAATGCCGGTGTAATAGTTTGGGTTATCGTTGGAGAGCTGTCATTCAGTCCACTGTACTTTGCCTCTTAAGGTGGGTGGGTTACATGTACCCGGGCTACAGAGGACGCCAGTATGTGTTTGAGCATGGAGACTTTAAGCACTGGAATGACTGGGGAGCCACTGCGCCTCAGATCCAGTCTGTCCGACGTGTGAGGGACATGCAGTGGCACAAGAGGGGGTGCTTCATTGCCACCACTCCAAATCCGAATCCCAACCCGAAACCTAAACCCACTCCCAACCCCAATCCTGTTCCTAACCCTACTCCAAATCCCAAACCGTCTCCAAATACCAAATCACAAACCCAGCCTTAAGCCTAAAACCACAACTCCAGCACCTCCTTACACCTCCTGGGACAAGCCGAAGCCACTGTGATATGACATTGACTCATTACTGGCATTTGTAAGGATGAAATAAGCATTTGTGATTACAAATAATAATAAAAAAATCCCCGACTGTTGATTGTCTACGTGGTATTTTATATATATATTTTTTAAATCAGTAATATGATGTAGTGCAGTCATGGTGATTTCAAATTTTTTTGAGCCGAGGTACACATTTTACTTCAGGAAAATCTCATGTCACGTGTACCTTTTGCCATCTAAAAGAAGGGTATTTAATTATTTTGTCCTTCACAAGATTTTGCCTGTGTAGATATTTGAACAAAAATACATTATTTGGAGTAAATAAGTAATCATTTTTGCACCAATTTACTGAATTTGGGTGAACTCCCACCATACACATGAGCATGTCTATGAGCCCACTGATACAACTCGGCACCCTGGTGTTATTGAGAATGTTACAAAACCAAGACAAAAGAAAGGTGGAAATGAGAGAAATGCATCCGAACACAATTTTTGGTATTAAGTGTCACTGCACTCGATGTATTTTTTTCTTAATTGGTGACATTGTGGGTATAATGCCATTTGTTATGATTAAGTGCAACCAGAATGTTTTCAATCATAAAATCTTAGCAAAGTAGAGATTCAAAAAGACGAATGAAAACTATTTAAAGCAAACATGACATAAAGTTATTTCAAAAATGAAAATGTGTTTTTATATTATTTAAATAAACTTTTACATTTGATTTGTAGAAAACAATATGAAGATAAATAATGGTAAAATAAACAAGTGTGTAAATACATTTATCAGTGTTCTATTTATTCGATTGAATCATTGGCTAATTAATTATTACGAAATTAATCACAAATATTCAGATGTTCAAAAGTAAAATGCATGTTCTCATTTCTCCAAACAATTTTATATACACATTTGCACTTTCTTTTTTTCCACCTCACCCTGAAATGAGCAGGCCCATCAGCCCATTCAAATTTAAATGTGACACTTGAGCACGAAACTTTCGCCCAAAAAAGTAAGCTATGACTCATCAAACATGAAATATTCATCCTCTGTTTTGCAAAGACGTCAGATGAGTCATTGTGATATTTTTAAAAAGTACTTTAAATATGCTGTATTGCGTTTGCAATGTATCGCGGAACTATTCACGAATACTGTACATTAATTCAGTTTGGTGAAAACTGCTCACAGCTTCTTCCTTTTTAGCTGATAAACGAACGTCAGTCACTTCTTCTTGCGAACCTGCGAAACGAAAGGACGGACGTGTGATTGGTTAAAGGTATGAGTACTGCCCACAAATATGGATCTAACCAATCAAATGCCATTTTTACACGGCCCTAGCCAATCACATGGTATCTTATTGAAGTACACACTAACAGACGGGCGGGCAACGCGCAAAATTTGAAAGTTTACCGGAAGCAATGACAAACAAGAAGGAAGCCACGGGTCGTTTTGTATTGTGAAGTCTATTAGTAATATATTTGTAAAGGGACTACTTGCATGGAAGTTCCATGAGGGGCCCCACGCTTTGGGTTTTATGTCTGTGAGTGTAAGTGAAGACGAAAGTCAAACTTTATTTTAGTTAACAAATAAGGGTTTTAGCTAACTTACACTTAGCATGCTGTGTTTACAAATTTAACCCTCGTACCTTTTGCGCTATTCCTAATCCATTACAACGTCACATTTAACTGTAGATCTCGTCTGTATGTGTCATTGGCATAGGATATATATTATTGAGAATGTTGAAGTTCAAATACGTGAGCCAGGGAGGCCTTAAAACGATGCCCACCTCCGCCGACGCTATCACCATCCGCAGCTCGAGACTCAATCAGCTGTTTCAGGTACACGTCTCTCTCCAACTGCTCCCAAAATATCAACATGTACAAAAACAAGCAAGTGCCATGAGGTTACTTCATTTTTGTCCCTTCGTGTATTTCCACAGGGTCGAATCAGCCTGAATGGGCAGCAACCAGGATGCCTCTTGGGTCGGGAGGAGTTTGTGGACTCTCTGTTGTTACTGTACCAAGAGTGCAAATCCCCAGAGTTGATGAAGATACACCATGTGGCCAACTTTGTTAACAAGTGTAAGCATATGACACACGAGTGCCTGTAGGGCTCTAGTTTGACCCATATCCTAGTGAGGACAAGTCTTACGAAAAATTGATGGATGGATGTGTTGTACAGGATGAGCGCAGTAGTCGTATCACAAATCGATAAGCGACTCATTATCCTGGATTGGTTGCCAGCAAATGGCAGAGCACTTAGTGGCAAATAACCATTCACACTTACCTTGAAACCTATGGACTACTCGTTTGTTAATGAATTGCCACTAAACTGATGACCTGTGTACTAAACTGATGTATTTTTGTGTGTGATGGCAGTTTCTGAGGTGGTCTCTGAGCTTCGGGCCTTGCAGCCGGGCCTTCATGACTTTGAGGTGTGCGCTGCGGTGGGTCACGGTCGCTTTGGCAAGGTTCAAGTTGTACGGGAGAAGGCAACAGGGGATATTTATGCTCTGAAAGTCATGGAAAAGACAGTTTTACATGCTCAGGAAAATGTAAGTACGTAAGTGAGTATTTCAAAGCTGATTTTTTTTCTAACCTGTTTTAATATTGCTTGATTAGATTATTTTTCATCAAGACAACATGCTCTGTGCTCAGTTTTCCCATTCAATCAATTTTTTTCCACTGGCCTCCTCTGTAGTTGCAATTAAAAGCACCTTGATGAGTGTGGGAAATTGTCAACCTCTCACTGCTGTGTTGAAGAATGTTAGTGGGGTTAAGGATGGTGACTGTATGTTGAGAGGGATGAATATTTTATGTGGTCGCTTACTTTTTTGTAGGACGCATGAATGCCACGTTATACATTATACGTCATACATTGGCTTTTCTTAATAATTGTATAACCATAAAGAAAGTAAAAATGCTCTCTTTAACACTGGCTGTGAATTAATTTACTGTTTCCTGTGGGGGGGAAAATGTTTTGTAATTCGTACATCGTGGAAGTCATGAAATGCCCTTTATTCAAATGAAGGAGTTGTTTTTGTTTTTCTTTAAAAAAAGTTTTTGAGGCAAATACAGGTAAAAGGTGAATATAAATCATTTTGATGTAGACAAGGTTTTGTTTCTGGTGTGTCATGACTTATCTGGTTGGTTGTTTGGAGTATTTGAAACAACAATGAAAAAATGTCATCGTTGTGACTTGGCTCAATTGTTGCAGTCAAAGAAAATCCCACTGGAGGATGCTGTGGAGTCAAACACTTCCAGTGCAGATACATCATTTCACAACATGTGACTAACAGAACAGCTCACAGACAGACTAGTACATGAGTTGTGATAGAAAGAGAAGGAAAGTGAACAATCAAGGAGCAATGAACTCTCATGTACAAGAAATGCTTTGTTCAGGCCGCACATCTATGATTGAATCATTTAATGAAACCTCCACATATAAGGTTGGCGTGACACGAAATGATTGTTTTTTTTTTTTTTTTTTTTTTTTTTTTTATTTAAACCAACAGAAATGAACGATTGCACGTTTTGTGATTTTGTTATTTGCATATTCTGGACCCCATTTGATTCAGGTGGTTTTTCATGAAGAGGAGCGGAGAATTCTGTCTTTGAACTGCAGTCCCTGGATCCCACAGCTCTTCTGTGCTTTCCAGGATGACGAACATGTCTATTTGGTGAGGCTTGTGCTTTTATCCTCATCTGCCACAACTCTTTTTATCATTAATATGGTACGCTGAATTCGATCCTCAGTTGCAATTGAAGGTTAATCTTGACCCTTCACAAAATCATCAGGCATCGTACTGTGTGAATTAGTGATCAAGCAATGAGCTGGGCTAGACCCCAGCTCACCCAAAACCAAAATAAGAGATTGAAAAAAAAATGGATCGATACATCCTCATGAAGTTTATTTTGGAATTTGAGTTACAAGAATACTGTAGTTATATAATGTCTAGCCACTTTGAAAACCTTCAAACTAATACGTTGTCGGGCACTGAAAACAACGACCAGGCTAGCAAGTGTCTCTTGAGGAAGATGAATAAGTTGAACTAGTTGAGTTCAATGATAATGGAAAGGACTATAAATACAGTACATGATGATCTTGACAGTGGAAAAAGTATAATTCTGCACAAAACCTCTCCACATGTCCACACGGTGTACCAAAATGTACTTATCGTGCTTTTGTGAAGGTTACTGTTTTTCCATTTTTCTTTCACAGCTGTGAGTTTCAGTACGTGAAACTAATAGAACCGAGACATCAGTCAGAATAATACATGAGTTGCTCCAGGAAGGAACCTGAAGTGTGCAGTGCGAGGAGCAACTTGTTAAAAATAAATAAATAAATAAATAAAAAAGCCAAGCTTTTGTGTTGAAGGACAAAAATAGCTCTCCTGAAAAATGCAAAATAACCCTTTTTTTTTCTAAAACTTTGAAAATGTCCTTGTGGTTTAGAACGGGTAGGAGATGTTGATTTCCTCTAAGGTTTAAACAAAATGTAATTTTGAAAAAAAATGTAGTAGTGTCAGTATCAATAAATATTGATGTCAACATTGAATTGATTGACAGTAATAAAGAACACTATTGACCATAATTTATGATAATCCGTGTCCACACTGTTGACACTGTTTAGAGAAGTGAGCCCTCACATGTTTATCATGTCCGCCTCCATTCTTTCTCCCTTCGTGCGTTTTCTTTATTGCCCCTCCGTCTCACCCTGCTCCCCAGCAGAGCATGGAGGAAAATACAAAGCATCCATCTCTATCCGTGTGGTAGAGAGGCTCCCAGTCTCCCTTGTTGCTAGGTAACACAGCAAAATGCTCCCTCTCATTCAGACTTGCCGACCATTCATGCACCAGGGGCTCTCATCTGTTATGGCTATAATGGTTGCCGCCTTATAGCTGAAATCAGCCTGAACAAAAGCCTTTCATCTCCGCTTGCAGACAATAGAGGCGAGAAATGGAGAGCCGCATTTAGATTTATGCTTGTAAACTTGGAAGACTTTTTTTTTTTTTTTTTTTTTTCCCTCGCCTTGTATTGGTTTGATGCTTATGAATACAGACAGGCACGCTCTGCAATGATGGTCCCGTTTGTGCCATTTCAGTTGTCTTTTAGAAGAACAGTTGTTTGACTGCAATGTCACGTATAATCTACCACCACATCTGATGTTACATCATCTAAAATGAAAGCCACCCTATAATCCTAAACAGAAACGTGCTTTGATCTCACACATGGTTCTACTGTTGCCTGTTTTTCTAAATATAGTCCCGCTTATGGGCATTTCGAGATGTATCCTCAACATGAGGTAGCTGCGTATTTTAGTCACAACCAAACCAGACCCAAATACCGATCTCGCCGGTATGTATTTGTTTTCTGACTGCCTACAACTGTCTATTAGGCAATGGAATACTTGCCAGGCGGCGACCTCCTGTCCCTGCTCAACCGATACGAGGAGCAGTTTGACGAGTCCATGGCTCAGTTCTATCTGGCTGAGCTGGTGGAGGCCATTCACACTGTCCACCAGCTGGGCTATGTCCACAGGTGAGGCTGCTTTGTAACCTTACAGAGTCAAGGTTGTAGTTGCAGTTGTTGTTGAATGGTTATCTCCTGGCTAGAAATGACACAGGAAAAGGACAAAAGCCTTTTGAGTGTTGTTGGAGATAGAATAAACAGCGAATTCATCTGGTCTCTTGCCACTTTCTCATTTCATGAACAGCTCCAAGCTACGCATTCATCAAACAGAAATTCACCTCATTGACAAAAAGAAAAAAAAAAGTGCATTTACTTATTACGCATGTCACAAATATTAGCCAACCACCACCTCCTTTGAAAGCAATCTCTTTGAACATAACCACTTACAGAGATGTCAAGCCCGAAAATGTCGTCATCGATCGGACTGGTCACATTAAACTGGCAGATTTTGGATCAGCTGCCAAGCTCACAGCTAATAAAATGGTGAGTGGATTATAACGTTTGCTGTCTGTGTGAATGACTCTATACTTGATGGGTGCATCATTTATATCTTTATCCAGGTGGCTACTCCCACAGTGCCCATGGGAACCCAAGACTTCCTCTCCCCTGAGGTCTTGGAGGCCATGAATGGGGGCCATCACAACACCTACGGTGTGGAGTGTGACTGGTGGTCCCTTGGGGTCATTGCCTATGACATGATCTATTCCAAGCTGCCTTTCTCTGGTGGCACTTCAACACGGACCATCCACAACATCCTCAACTTCCAGGTGCTTACCATTTTGAAACTCTCAAATACGCAAAAGTATACAAACAAGACTCTTCGTTTATTCGCTTGTGATTGGGCTTCGTTTCTTAGTCCCCCCTGTAGTTTTGTTTTTCTGTTTTAGCTTTTCTGACCTCAAGCAGCAAAATACATTTGGAGTGAACTTGAACAGAAATTGTAGGCCATGCCTTCTCATCTCAAAAATGTGCCCTGACAAATGTTCATCTTAAGGAATGGACAAAAAAGAAAAAAAAAAATCACACTGATATTGAGCAAAAACCAAGTCTTGTCAAATGGAATGCTTTCTAGTTCTTTAGTTCTTGCATGGTTAATGGACAGATATTGTTTACTCACTTGATTGATTACTCAATAAATACGTATACAGTATACAGTGTGTGTATATAACTGAACGTTGAAGTGGATGTTGTCTGCTTTTAGCATTATCTAAAGATTCCAGAAGAGCCGCGCGCCAGTAAACAGTTTGTCGACCTGGTGCTCAGTTTGCTGTGCGGAGCTAAAGAACGTCTGGGATTCCAAGGACTCAGATGCCACTCGTTTTTTTCCAGAGTGGACTGGAACAATTTACGACAAGGTGAGGTAGCGATTCTCCCCTGGCTATCTGTTGCGCTCTTATAGGGCCCGGCCGATTAATCTGCTGGCCGATTATATGTGCCAATATTAGGCCTTTTCAAAATAATAATGTTTTTAATAATAATAATTTTGGGGGGGGATGTCATCACTTCATGAAATGTGATTAAAGGGCATCGTGTAGAAATCATATTTTGCCCATCAAGCTTGCATGTTGAATTAAAAGAAAAAAATCAAATCAATGAATGACAGATTGCATTGGCAACAGAACATGATGCTGGTTTGGATAACAGAGAAAGACGTGGAAGAGGTTGACATTTTCAGCTCAGCGTCTGTGATAAAATTACACACACTATTCACACCGGGGAACATTTTCATTCAAGTGTCGTCACATTAGAATGCACAATGCTGTGATTCCCGAATGCGTCCGCTGTTTGCAATACGTCACGTTTTGAGATGAATCAACAGTTATTTTTGGTATTCTGACGTTGTTATCAAACATTGATATGCAAGCCCTCCCCTCTCTTCTCAAACATTGTCATCTTTGCTGAATTTTGATTGTAGTCATCTGCAGATGATGAGCCAATGTTTCGAAACCCCATTTAGCCTTTCGTGCCAATAGAAGAATATGCTACCAGTTTGTTTTGACAGTTTCTGAGTTGAATTCCATTAACTAGTTAATAAACAGTATGAAACAAAAAGACACAGGTACACCTATGTATTTATCAATGGATGTGGATTGATATTTAGGCTTCAGCTCTGGTTTAAGCTGGGAAGCTTGCTCTGCTGCAGTGAGAGAGGGCAAGTGAGCATAAGCGCGAGCGAGTGAGTGAGCGTGAGGAGGGAGGGACGGAGGCACCATGTGCATCAACGTGCGATTTACCGCACTCGGCGCACACCGCTCTGCGAGGTTCCCCTCCCCTCCTTCTTTCCTTCTCTGTCTCCCCCCACCCCCTTTTTTTAACTAGCCTGTCTGCCTCTGAAAACATTCCCCTTGCCCTTTTTCGCTCCCGACTCTAATTCTTTCCCCATCCCAACAGCTGTCCCACCTTTTGTTCCTGCGTTGCACGCTGAAGATGACACCTCTAATTTTGAGGAGCCGGCGCAGGCAGCCCCCCGGCCAGCCTCAGCATCCAAGCGAGGAGCTCCCCCTGTGGGCTTCCAGGGCAAGGATCTCCCCTTTCTAGGATGGTTCTTCAGCAGAGCACTGACAACGTTGGCCAAATCTGAGTAAGTTCAATTTGTTCTCTGCACAAAAAAATGTTTTTTTTAAACACTCTCCCGACTTCATCTGGTGGACCTCTTGCATACGCCTATCTGATTCACCTTTGTTAATTAAAGACCCCATGCTACCATTGGCGCTTCCTGTGTCTCCACATTTCTCATTAGCTTAACAACAAATTCCAGGGCGCATGCATGGTTTTCGGTGACTGGGCACTTGGGTTGTCAGTGTGATGCCTGTTGAGGACAAATTGGGTTTTGCAATATGCTGTGCAAGATAGCATAAACAAGAGGAGGTTTACTTAATCTGCATGTGTTGCTTCTTTTTCTGCGATTCTTGTTTTTTTCTGTGTCTTGAGAGCACATGTCGTTGATCCGATGCCCAGGGAGTGCAAATTCACGGGTCAGGGGCTGTGAGCTGGTGTTGTCTTGCCATTGATGCTGATTGGTATGCAGCTGAGTGTGTCAATGAGGTTCGCTGAGAGGTGGAACCCCCCCCCCCCAACACACACACACACACACACACACATTCCCGCCCTCTCTACTGTTATTGTGGGACCCAAATTATCCCTGATCCTGTTTGACTTCCTAACCTCCGGTAATAATCCAAAAGGACGTGTTTGATTAGCCTGTGCCAGCTTGATCGTGCTGGAGACTGCGGATCATGACAGCTGCAGTAACAGAAAGGAAGGAAAAGGCGCGAGCAGATTAGACAGCAAGAGCTGAGATTGGGGGAGCATCTATTTCTATGGTGACCAATGTGGTGTGTTTTTCCTTCCCCCAATTCCCCACCCCCATCTTGACTGTTCTCATCGCCTCATCTTATTTTCTTCATTTTTAAATGTCTCTTTCTATTGCTGTTACATACCAGCAATCATGTTTACTACTCGTACTGTATCTTTTGCTCTTGTTGACTCAGTAAAGAGAGGCGCTCCTAGGATGTGTGGGCGCACGCATATGCATTATAGACTCCCGGAAAAAAAAGAGACAATTGAGCCCAAGAATGCTGGGCATGATGATAATGCTAATAATGTGGTTTGGGGGTTTGTAGAATCCTTCTTTTGTTGTCATTTTTGTTTTGGTGAACGTGTCTGACTGCTCATTAGTGACACTCAACAAAATCCCCTGAGCAGCGTGTCTTAAACTCATACTCTGTGCTTGACTGGGGATTTTTCGGGAGGGAGGTGGGGAAATGAGCAACAGATCATGTGCCGTTTTATCTTCTGTTAATCTTCTTTTTCGTACACTTATCACGGTAGCAATTTTAAATACCAAAGGTTAAAGTTGTTAAATGTATGTACAGGTGTTTGTTTTATTTTTCTTAACTCGCCCATAATTGGAATGTGGAGGAAAATTGTCCTTGGTCAAAGTGGTTTGGTCAATTGTCCAACATTTAAACGGAGAGCTCAAATGAAATGGACCATCAGGTCAAATTGCCTTGAATGAACACAGCCAAGATGGCCATGGTGAGAGCTTTCATGACCCCACAGGGAATGATCTCTGATCATTGAGGAGATCAAGTGGTCATAAGTCTTTTTCTTGGCAAATATCTTGCCCTAACTAATTGCCAACCCCCTAATGTAGCAAATAGTTTCCTGCAATACCGGTAACGAGAACAATATTTACTTTTAAGTGTAAATGTGAATAGCTCATCGAAACATGCCATTTTAATGTACTTTGCTTTCTGAACTGTTCCACAGTCATCCTGGAAAAGGGCCTTCCCCAAACTGTTCGCAGATAGTTGGAATAAAAAAAGTGTCCAAAATGTCTCGTTACTGAATTTTGATTCATGTGGACTTAATTCAATGCAGCCCCCGATTGATTAAATGATGGATTAAGCGATATGCCTCAATACCGCTGTCCGTGTGTAGTGTACTGTATGTTAAATATTCCACAACAGATCCAGCCAATATTAAAAGTGTATTAAAGTTATAGCCACACTATGGTAATCCTAGGAAAAGAGCAAATACAGTGCTGTGAAAAAGATTTTTTTTTTTTTTTAGTGTTTCCCCCCCCTTCATTTATTTTTTTTAAGTGAAAATGTGAAGCAAATACACACTGAGGCTGGGGGCTACTTAGCGCCTGAGGAGCACTTGGGGATATCGGAGTCTTGCTCAATGACACCACAGTCATTTGAACTACAATTCAATTAAAATGTTCCGCACATAAAAGTTAAATAAAGATCGCTTCTTTTTTGTAAAGATTTCTGGTTACCGTATGATTTACGTTTTAGCTGCGTGTTACTCACAAGTAACCACCAAGTAACCTTGATGTTTGGCTTGGTGAGGAGTGATGATGTGTTGTTGATTTGATTTTTGCCTTTGCTTTTTATTCTTTTGCTTTTGTTGACTCTAGGGTAGTGTCTGCAGGCCTCAACTCTCCTGCTAAGACCAACTCCATGGAAAAGAAGCTCCACCTTAAAAGCAAGGAATTACAAGAAACCCAAGACAAATGTCACAAGGTCAGACTTTTGCTGGTGGTCCCATTCCAATCATTTGCATGCCGCTCAATGGACCTAAACAAACACTTTTTCCTGAGGTGTTTACATGTGTATTTTATTGTTGTTTTAACATTCTTTTCCTTAAAACGCTTAGCGCCACCTTGCGAAATAGCGTTTTTGAGCGATTATGCTCCGGACACCGAATGCGCTCTTGTGTTTAAGAAACTCATTGTTAGCTGTTTTATTTTTTCTGAGAGTTGTTTCATGCTCCAGTCATTTTGCCTTTTAAGCAGCAGGAGAGAATGGGGCAATCCCCAAAATGATACCCCTTCAAGCATTGGTGTTTATGGCTTCTTTTCTGTTTATTGTCACTCAGTCCCCTATAAATGGTGACACTCTTCTTCCAAAGTGGCCTTTATCGGCTGTCAGTTGAGTCATAACTCAGTCGTAACCCCTTTAGATGTCTTAAACCACCTTGTTGTTGATTTACTTACATGGGAACTGAACACAGTGCATGCTGGCTGGCTGCAGCTCCTCAAGGTCACACACGGTGCCATGCCGAATTCATAAACATTTGTATTAGTACATAAGTAGCCGACTGCCAAAGTCTCTCTCAGGTGGTTACCAACACATTAGTGTAGTCAAATCAACAACGTAATCGGTGTAAAACTCCTTTTCTTTCTTTTTTTTTTTTTTTTTTTGTCGTGTGTCGTATTGTTTTCAACTCTGAGGGCCATATGTTATGAGCATTTAATGTTTAGTTGCATCATCAGATTCTCACATATACACAACAAATTGATGGATAGCTTTTCTATAAAACCAGAAGTTGTTCAAGTTACCATAAGGGGTTCGGTAAGCGAAAAATTGCTGCAGGAGATTGAGGTTTTCATTTGTTACCTATGTCAATTTGAAATTGTTGTCAATTTTGGCAAAAAAAAAAAACATGGAAGTTGATGCACAAGATTTGCTTTCCCAGGTCAAATATAATAATGTGGCAGGCCAGTTTTGGCCCCTGAGCCTGAGTTTGACGTCTACCAAGACAGGACTTTATTCAATGATTCATTTGACCCTGCATATTCAGATGGAGCAGGAGATCTCCAGGTTCCAACGCAAAATGACTGATCTCGAGTCAGTGCTACACCAGAAAGATGTGGAGCTGAAGGCCTCTGAGACTCAGAGGAGCATCCTCGAGCAAGACCTCGCCACCTACATTACGGAGTGCAGCGTGAGTCATACAGCACGCAATTATGTTTCTGTAGATGTGAGAGAATGCCTCCAGACATTTTGTGAGTTACACAAACACCCTCTGATATGCCCTCCCAAAAAGCCCAATTACCTCAGCAAAATGTTTTGGATTTCCAGTAGTCATGCTAATGTGAAATGTTTCCATCAAGCAAGCTCTTAGATCTTGACGCTTCGCCCTAGACCTCTCTGTCTTTACTAATCAAATACAGAGGGAACTCAAATGAAAGCTTAAAACCAAGTCGTTCTCTCTAAAAGTTGCGTGCTACGGTGCCCTCGACCAAATAAACGAATATGACTTTGAGCCGTGATCCTTGCTGTGTTTGCAGAGCCTAAAGCGGAGCCTCGAGGAGGCGCGCGTGGAAGTCTCCAGAGAAGATGACAAAGCAATGCAGCTGCTGCACGACATCCGTGAGCAGAGCAACAAGCTGCAGGAAATTAAAGAGCAAGTATGTATCATGGTTGCATCATTCCTTTCCTCATCGTCAATATAAGCTTGTTATTCCATTAGCGCCCGCATGATAACAAAATTCAAAGACGACCGGCTAAAAGGGAAAGTCTGTCGGCACCGTCCATCTACCCATCGAAATGGGCGATCACTCTTTGTCTTGACAGTCGCTGATGTTGTAGTGGTGCACCTGCCTGGCTTGTATACGGGCAGCATGGGATCGGTTCCCACTCAGTGACGGTGTGAATGGCTGTTTGTAGCTATTTGTGCCCTGCGACTGACTGGCAACCAGTTCAGGGTGTAGCCTGCCTTCTGCCCAAAGTCAGCTGGGATAGGCTCCCGCAACTCCCCGCGACCCTGTTCAGGATAAGCAGTGCTGAAAATGGATGGATGGATGGATGTTTGTCTCGACCTGTAATCATGAAATGGCGGAGTAGCAGTGCAATGCTGCACCTTGCATATTTCCCGGGCAGGGCATCACCTATGAGGGTTTCCGTCGTTCTCTAATCATAAAGGTCATCCCTGCAGATGGCATCCCTGCAAGATACAGAAATAAGTGACTTTGATCATGAATCATGATGCTTGCCTACAGTTGTCTCCAGGGGTAAGATAGGCATAATGATTCTGCATTTGGAATCGGAGAATGCTGTACACATTTTACTGTACAGTACTTTACAAATACCCTTACAGTCATGAATGACCCCCCCCAAAAAAAAAAATGTTATCATTTATCTAGATAAAGCAAAAATGTTCAGCAATGTGTTTCAGCTTGACTCTCCACTAAAGAATAGCAGAATCAGCCATTATAGATTATGTGAAACATTTAATCAGCCTTTCCGTATTACCTTTGATTTGGTTTTGATGGGGATCACAATCGTTACCGCAGTGCACTGCAGCTTCTATAGCTGGCTGCGCGGTGAAACAATGTCAGCACATCTTGGTCTGTAAAGCGAGAGAACAGCTCACTTGTTTTCATGCTGTTCAAAACGAGTCTCTGAAATTTGTTATCGCATAATTCGAATGCATAAAAGCACACAAAGCATTTAATGCAAACTTGTGATAAAAGGGCCATTAAGAGAAGTACTTAAGTTGCGTGAGTCATACATTACGTAGCTTGCTATATATGGATTACTCAGTGCATTGGAACACGGTACTGTCTGCCTTCAATAATTTTAACAATGTTTATTTGTTGTGGTTCTTGTTTGTCGGAATGTGAAACTCGAGTTTTACAACTGGAGTTTTATCAGAGTTTTCTGTAGAATTTGGGTGACATGGTTTAGTTCCCCTTGCATTGGTTCGTATGCCCTATACTGCTTTGTACTTGAGTAGGCCTAATAATTTTATGTGGATTTGGACTGGCATGCAGGACAAACATCGTACCTCAAACATATTAAGATTCTGAATGAGTGTACAAAATTAATTATTTCACTTCATGTTGGTTTGCTGTTGAGAAGTTTTGTGCCATCCTTGAATGGTAATTTTTATGCAAGCACTGAAAAAAAATCACGTTATTTTGTTGTTTGCTTCTATCTATGTGTTGTTCAATAGTGTCTCTTTTATACATGCACTGAGAAATAGTAAATGAAAAATCACTATATTAAAAGCGAGCATTTTATCCAAATTTAAATGAGCATTTTTGTCATACATCTTGGCCAGGAAGTGTCGTGTCCTATGTGCCCCCACATTAGCATTGATGAAAATTGTGGCCCCCTTCCGTCATTTAAATTGCCCACCACTGAGCTACATGAAAGGGACAAACTGCTGTACAACTGCAATAATAAATAAACAGACATGAAATGAATGCTCCTTGGCTTTGTCTTGCTCACCTAAACGTTCTCATCTGTGTGATTGCACAATTGATGCAGTTCTTTTATTGGCTCCATGAGATTCTGTTACGGACGTGTTGTTTTAGGAGTACCATGCCCAGCTGGAGGAGATGCAAGTGACCATCAGGCAGCTGGAGGAGGACCTGTCCGCTGCGCGCCGCCGCAGTGACCTCTACGAATCGGAACTTAGAGACTCAAGACAAACCAGCGAGGACCTCAAACGGAAGGCTGTGGAGTACCAGCAGAGGATTCAGAAGGTACACGATCCGAGAAATGTGCAGTATACTGTACAACACGTTGCTGCTCCTGTTGCCTTATTACACGGTCAACATTGGAAATTGGATAAGGTGTACTTCATCATTCTATATGCTTCCAGGCTAAAGAGCAAGGTAGAGCAGAGGTAGAGGAGCTTCTCTCCAAACTGGAAAAGGTAAAGTGAGACTCACGGTGTGATAGTTTCATGGTGCTGCAGTTGTACTTATATTTCACCATTTGTTCCCTTCTCAAGACAAATGCTGAGCAGCAGGTGAAAATCCAAGAGCTCCAGGACAAACTGTCAAAGGTACATTTATCGATAATTTAGAGCAGTGGTTCTTAACCTGGGTTCGATCGAACCCAAGGAGATCGGTGAATCAGTGTCACGGATTCGACAGAGCCTCTGCCATGGAGGTTTTAAGACACACCCGACTCAACATGTCAATTAGTTATGACATGCCCGCTTGGCCATTACTGGCTGGTTCATTTTGTGCACAATTAAAAAACTTATACTTTATACTTATAATAATTGTGTTTACTTTCTTCTGTTTTTAAATAATGCGTTTTTTTTTATGCCTTGAATTTGTAAAAAAAAAATAATAATAATAGAGAAATCTGACACACTGAATATGACTACTACAAGTCCACAAACAAGATTTTGAAAAATCTTAATTATGGCTTGCTTAAATCTAGAAATACCTTGTATGCACAGTATGAGTGCAAATGTCTGGTCCAAATGTTTCAGGAAGTCTGTCCAGGGATCCACTAACTTGCCGTTTAACCTCCTGATCTCCCTTAGGCGGTGAAAGCGAGCACAGAAGCCACCGAACTGCTGCAGAATGTCAGACAGGCCAAAGAACGGTTGGAACGAGACCTGGAGCGCTTGCGAGGAAAAAGCGACTCGAGTGACACGCTCAAACGACGTCTGAGAGAGACAGAGGTACCACTTTAGACAAAAATGCTGCACCTTGCTCCTTATTGTAAAATATTTGTCACACTCCGTTACCATTGTTCGCCCTCCCTCCACCGCGTTCAACTTTGTCGCCCTGTACGCTTCACCCCATGTCTCATTTTCTTGTTTTTGGTGTGTAAGCAGGAGGGCAGGAAGACCCTGGAGAACCAGGTAAAGAGGCTGGAGATGGTTGAGCGCCGGGAGAATAAGCTGAAAGATGACATTCAGACCAAATCCCAGCAGATCCAGCAGATGGCTGAAAAGATCCTGGTGAGAGACCTACAGATAAGACTTCCTTAATACTCTTCAGCACTCCACCCCTAATTGTACCCACTGCCCATCTCTGGTTATCTTCATCGGTCCTTCTGAGAGCTCATACTTGCACACTGCATGAACTAGCTAGCTCAGCTCTCATAAATGGCAGCTTATCAACACACTCCATAGACCGTCTCAGCATGAACAGGCGCAGCTACGGCCGTTTTGTGGATTTACAACTTCTCAATGCAAGTTTCTCTGTTTCTTTTCATTGTGTATTTGTTGCCATAGTAGCTTTGTGCATACAGATCTGCATTGGTGTGTGAACATGCATTTCCGGAAATGGTCGTTTATTAGACTCTTTGTATTATTCAACTAACCTAAACCCTTTCCCTCCAGGAACTGGAGGACCACCTGAGGGATGCACAGTCGACGGCACAAAGGATGGAAACTCAGCTTATCCAAAAGGAGAGGCTTTATGAGGACAAAATTAAGGTGGTGTTACGGGGCTGAAAATTTCTTCGACAGGATGAACTTTCAACAAAAGCTAAGACCCCATGAGACTTTAATGTACCATGTGCATTCGCTGGCTCTGTCTCATCAAGGTTCTGGAAGCCCAAATGAAGGTGGACCTAGCCGACAAGGAGAGCCTAGAAGCCAGGAGAGCGCAGCAAGAGGAGGAGTCAAGAGAGAACAGCAAACTTCTCAGCGAGCAGAAAGCAGTAAGAAAAATGGCAATGAACTTAAAATTGTCACATTGAGAACCGCCTTTAAATTCACACTCTACATTCAGATGCAGGTAAAGCAAATGTGTATTGTTCAGTTTCAGTCTCCATAAATAATTGTAACTCCTGTAAATAATGTAATGAAAAGGCTGTCATGTATTGAGTGTACATTTTGAATGTTTATATAGGAAAGTTAGTTTATGAACTTGCATCTTTCAAAATTGACAGCGTTACTCCATCTTTTCATTTCTTTCCATGCACAATGTGTCACAGTGGTTTGGGTGGATTGGAATGAGCACTTTGAAGACCGATTAAATTGTACTGTACATCATTTTGCACTGTAAAATCTGGGCTCAAATCCTAATCTGGTTAATGTGGTAGAATTGAGGCAGTTAAGAAGCTTTCATCTTCTGACATTGACAGTAGAAGATTCAAGCAACACTTTTGAGGGAAGCTAAGAGGATTTTACTAGAGTGAAACCTTCTGTTCCCCCCCGTCCCCCCCAAAATATTTCCGCTAAAAATTGTGCACGCCAAAACTTGCATGATTGTGTACGCCTGGAGTTTTTATGTTATTTGCACCGTCACACTGTGCGGCCTCTCTTTCTGCAGACCATTAACGCCATGGATTCAAAGATGAAGAACCTGGAGCAGCGCATCGCTGAGCTGTCAGAGGCTAACAAGCTGGCTGCTAACAGCAGCATCTACACCCAGAAGAATATGTGCGCTAACAAGCCCTTGTACCCACATTGTGCTTTCATGAGGGTCCCCACCCACACTGACACCATCTCTTCCCGCCTCCAACGGCTTCATTAGTGTACATTTAAATCTTTTTGCACCATGGCTGATGGATCCTTTTAATGATTCGGGGTGGCTCATGACGCTACACAGAGCAAATGCCACTTCAACTACTCTTTGAATAAATGTTTTGTATTTATTTGAATGAATTACATTACAATATCACATTGTTTTAGCAGAAATATGTTTTTTATCATACCATTGTTAATTTCACTCTTGTTGAAGATGGGGCCCTCTGTTTTTAAATAAACAGGACAGGAGGTCCATATATTTTTTTTTACATTTTATTTATTTTTGTCTGTTTGGTTTTGCTTGATTAGGAAAGCCCAGGAGGAGATGATCTCAGAGCTGCGACAGCAAAAGTTCTATTTGGAGTCTCAGGCTGGCAAGCTGGAGGCTCAGAATGCCAAACTGGAGGAACATCTCGAGAAAATCAGTCAGCAGGAGCAGACCAAGAGGACCCGTCTACTGGAGCTGGAGAGTAGGCTACGGGAGGTGAGCCAATGGCAAACAGAAACAAAATCTTTCTGCTCAGGATTAAGTAATGCTCTTTAGCCATCTCTCTGTGCAGCATTGCATTACAGTCTTACTGTCCACAAAGCGGATTAAGCTGGTTGATCGGCCACTGAGCTGATAGTCTTTTTAGATCAATTAATATGCCGTAGGACTACAGATTAGTGCTCAGTTTCAGTGAGATACTCAGACTAGTTTTCACCTATTGGTAACATTTCACCAAATTCAAAATAAACCACTTTAGCACCCACTCCTTTTTACAGTCAAAGCCCTTCCCGCACCCCTTTTCCATATTACTGCAGACAATCTGTTGGCAGTGTGTTGCTTTTTTTCCTACTGAGAATTGATGCTAAGTGTGCTACTCATAGCTGGCCTCACATGCAAACACATCATCGCTGTCCGATGTCTCATACACATGCATACTTTACAAATGGTCCATGCATAAAATCTGATACTCATTACATCAATTTTTTTTTAACGTGTCGCCACGGAAAGCTGGTGTTGAAAACTTGAAATGTTACTTTCATTTCTAGAATTTAGGTTTAGGTAACCGCTGTGACCCAACTTTTGAGATTGACTTGTTTCTCAAACTGTTTGGGTGTTTTACAAAATCTACCATCTGGTACTCTGTACCAACAAATGGTGATAATTATATGCTAATATATTCCTTTTCGGGTCATTGTGACACTGCAGTAAACACACATTTACCACTGTCCTGTTGCCTTTCCAGATGGGCTTAGAACATGAAGAGGAAAAGCTGGAGATCAAGAGACAGGTGTCAGAGTTGACTCTCTCTCTGCAAGAGCGCGAGTCCCAGATAAGCAGCCTACAGGCAGCTCGTCTTGCCTTGGAGAGCCAGCTGCAGCAAGCAAAGACTGAGTTGGAGGAAACCACTGCTGAGGCTGAGGAGGAGATCACCGCCTTGAGGGTAAGACGGCAAGTGCACGTGAACAAGTGACTGCCATTACCATATGTAGGTACGCATGGAAAATCAGGCAATACAGGAAGTACAACTACTTTTCTCAGAGCTAATATTGAAAGCAGGAGCATCATTTACCATATGCACAACATAAAGAGAGTCAACAAGTTTTTGTTTTTGTTTTATTACCTTTTTAATAGCACCGTTACATTGTGTTTGTCATTCCTAAATTTTGATCCGCATTTTCCTGTTTTCATAGAATCACAGAGATGAAATTCAACAGAAGTTTGATGCGCTCAGAGACAGCTGTTCAGTAAGTGCTGATTTATATCACGGGAAGTGAAATATCTTTCATATCTTCATGGATGGATGGATGGCTCTTTATATCATTAAAATGGGTAGCAGAGAGGTTAGCATGTCTGACTCACATTTCTGAGGTTTGGCTCGGGATTCCTATGTGGAGTTTACATGCATTAGGTTTATTAAAGACTTTATTTTATCAAAAATGCCAAGGTGCAACTTTTTGGGAGTGGAATATCACTTGATTCATTGTCACGGTCAATTATTTGTTCCACAAGCGCTGCGGATTCATTGAGCTCTTTTCCTTGCTTCAGGTGATCACCGACCTGGAGGAGCAACTTACCCAGCTGAGTCAGGAGAATGCCGAGTTGAACCGCCAGAACTTCTACCTGTCCAAGCAATTGGATGAAGCATCAGATGAGAGGGAGGACCAACTGCAGCTGAGCCAAGAGGTGGACCGGCTCAGGAGAGAGGTGGCAGACCGTGAGATGCATCTCAACAATCAAAAACAAGTAATGTTGCCCAATGTTTTACCAAACACAATTTTCAGTGTAAAGTATATGTATCTATTAGTTAGAAAGACGATTCCAAACAAATCGGGGCTGAGACTTTTCTGTCACCGGAAATGTCGGCGGGCCAGCAAACAAGTTTTTCCAAATTTATGTGAATGACAGTCTCCTCAATCTGCCATTTTATTTACGTTCCTAGAACATTGAGACACTGAAGACGACATGTAGCATGTTGGAGGAGCAAGTGGTGGAGCTCGAGTCCCTGAATGACGAGCTGCTGGAGAAGGAGCGGCAGTGGGAGGCTTGGAGAGGTGCCCTGGAGGATGAAAAGAGCCAGGCCGAAAGACGCACCAGGGAACTGCAGAGACTGCTGGATAATGAAAAACAAAACAGGTAATGTTGAAACAGTCTTCAATGTATCAGGACTGTGATGAATAGTTTGTTACTGTGCTTTTCACAGGTTACGGGCCGACCAGCGCAGTACAGAATCCCGCCAGGCGGTCGAACTAGCTGTCAAAGAGCACAAGGCTGAGATATTGGCACTGCAGCAGGCCTTGAAGGAGCAGAGACTCAAAGCTGAAAGTCTGTCAGATACCGTGAGTTGAACTGCATTCATATTTCAGATTCAAGTTGAATGTAACCTCTAGTTATGTGAGATTACACCATAATCATCCAATGCAGTCATTTTTGTAAAATTCTGCCAATGCTGATTACTCTTGTTTACACAGCTCAATGACCTGGAGAAGAAGCATGCCATGTTGGAGATGAACGCTCGCAGCTTGCAGCAGAAATTGGAAACTGAGAGGGAGTTGAAACAGAGGCTGATGGAAGAGGTAGGAAGTAAATTAGATTAGCAAGACATTGTCCACTCAAATGAAATGTATTTCAATTTCAGAACACCACCAATTCCATCTCTCAAATTTCTAAGCTTCTTCTCCCCATTCGCCACTACAAAAGTGTTAGGAAATGCCTATTAGAACAGCTGAACTTGATTTGGGGTTATGCAAAGGCACATTACATGGTGGCAGCTGTGTGCTGACTCCCATCCAACTTGGATTTGAATGTGACTAGTTAATTCTAAACACAGCCACATCCATAGTTACATTATCTCAGTTGTTTATTTTTCTTTCCCTCCCTAAATTAAAAAAAATGAAATCACAGATAGCAGATTATAGAACACGTTTTTTTTGCAGATTCATTTTTATCATGTCTCAAAAACTTGCCATTTGAAGATGGTTGGATAGACTTTATATCCACTGAATAGGAAGGTGTTATATATGTTTTTTATTTATTTTTTATTTTATTAGCACATTTTTTTCAATGACGGTTTGTGTGATGGTATTTTCACAGCAAGGGAAGCTGCAGCAGCAGATGGATCTCCAAAAGAGCCACATTTTCCGTCTGACCCAGGGTCTACAGGATGCACTAGACCAGACCGATATGCTCAAGACTGAGAGGACCGATTTGGAATACCAGCTGGAGAATATACAGGTGCTCAATTGCAATATCCTGGCAATTGAATGAGATGCTGTTTGGGGACCTTCATGACTGATATTCGAAATTCAAATGATTCCTGGGAGATCTAATGTAGAGCTAAATAAGAAAAGTGTTCTCAGTGAAGTCCTCAAAGGGTTATACATTTCAGCCTTATTTTGCAGGCTGTATATTCCCATGAGAAGGTGAAGATGGAGGGCACCATCTCACAGCAGACCAAACTCATTGACTTCCTCCAGGCCAAAATGGACCAGCCCTCCAAGAAAAAGAAGGTCAGAAATAAATATTTAATGGCCATACATCCTAATAAACGGTTAAAATTAGCTTGAGCACATAGATGGAAGTGAGGTTACCGTTAAAATAATGTAACATTCCCTGTCCTGTATATTGTACACAAGTGAGCTAAAACTACTGGGGCACCTGGCTGATACGGCTCTACAATGTAATACAATACAACGATGTAGCGCATTTCACAACAGCTGCAGCTGTTGCAATTACAAAACACAAATTACTGATACTAACACATAAGCAGTAGACGCCAGAAAACAATAGAACAGTGTCAGTCTCATGTATGGTCGAAAGTCGAAAGCCACTCGAGGAAGCCTCTGTTTCATAGCTTTTGTAGTCTGCTTTCGAGCAGTGGTTCTCAACAGTTGTCATCTTGTCACCCTTGGGCCCGCAACTTCTTATTGTTGCAAAGTCACGACCCACTTTTATAGTAGTTAAGAACAATGAATCTTTTTGTTTGTTTGTTTGTTTGTTTGTTTGTTTGTTTGTTTTTTAAATAGCCTCTGAAAATACATTTACAACAACGTACATTTTTAAACGGCGTTTCAAATGAGTTTGACATACCGTCAAAAGCATATGGCTAACTCTGATGTCTGCTAGCCAAAGGCTGAGCTGCACCGTGTTTATTTACAGAGAAGTTCGTGACTAGTGACTGACCCAATATTGTATATTTTACGTGGGTATTTGGTACACATTTATACTGTTCTGAAAAACCCAGAATAAAAATACTGTCTGTGACCCACCAGTTGACAATCACTAATTTGAGTCTAAGGTCAAGGCTCTGTTTTTGTAGAGGGGACAAAGGGGAACAGCGCAATTGACAAAATGTTGTCTCATGATATAAATTGAATCATCTCTCCGTGTTCCCTCTGCAAGCAGGGTATTTTTGGTCGACGGCGTGAAGATGTAGGCACTACAACTAATGGGGCATTGACTCCTCAACCCCAGCCGGCAGTTCCCTTGCAGTACAGCGACATGAAGCTTGCTTTAGAGAAGGAGCGCTCAAGGTGTGGAGAGCTGGAAGAGGCTCTTCAGAAGATGAGAATAGAGCTACGATCCCTAAGAGAAGAGGGTACGTTGTAACAGTCCATGTACAGTAGCAGTCAGTGCCTGTCAGCTATTCATACAAGCTCTTCGTAACACAATGTTTTTGTCTAGAGTAAGTGAGACAACTTTTTCAAATGCATCCCTTCACTTGAGTGTGGAGTGTCTCCAGATTTATACTTCCACTGACTTTTTTATTTTATTTTTTCTGAAAATACAGCCGCTCATTTCAAAGCGCAGGATCACATGGCTACTTCCACGCCAGCCCAGGCTCGCCATCAAATCCTCATGTCGGCCATTGTCAAGTCCCCAGAACATCAACCCAACCCTTGTGGGCTGCTTAACCCTTCAACCCGCTCAAAGGAGACGTCCACGCCTGAAGGTGACACACACATGCATATACACTCGGTCTGCGTTAGATAAATCTTCAAGATCAGTTTGTCGACTTAGTCTCACTCATGTGTTTCCTATCACTGTCAACAAAATGGGCCCTTTGTTTGTTTTTCTTTCTTTCTTCTGTCAGTCTGTCTAAGGCAGGATTAGGTCTTAAATTACGTTGGATAACTATGCTCCGGACCTTGTAAATCTGAAACACAAACTACCGTTAAAAAGAAAAAAAAGTTGTGTTTCAGTTTTTAGCCGCTGTGCTTTTATCCAGCCAATATTGTAATCCTGCCTGGGCCTGTCTCGCAAGGGAAAGATAATGGATGAAACTGGTTTTAATGTATGTAGACTTTCCTCTTCTGAAAGGACCAAATTTATCTCGTCGCACCAATCTGCTCGAACTGTTCTATTTCTAAAGTTTCCTAATGACTTCTGAAGAATCCTCCTATTTTAGCAATATAATGAAAAGTGGACAGATCAAGAGGACGTGCTCTGATCCTATCAGATACACGATGCTCAAGTGACAAGTCCATTGCCTTTCTTTGTGATTCAGGCCTCAACCTGTGTGTGTATGTGTGTGTGTGTCACTTTCACATAGCTATTGTTAGACTGCTATCTCCTTTCTGTCTCTTTCCTCTTATTCCTTGCAGAAAAGAGGAGGGTCACCTTTGAAAGTAAGTTAGCAGTCACCCATTCCTTTCTTACGTCTTCTCCAAAGAGGTGTGCACCTCAATTCATGTTTTTTGGACCTCCATACTTAATCATTTATGCATTCCATTCTGACTGGCATGCAGAGTGGCATTTTCAGCGGCTCACACGCAAACATCTGAGTATTTTCACCCAAAAAAATAAAATGTCTTTTTTATTTTGTCATTTTCACCATGCAAACAGTGAAAAAATAAATCTTGTGAGATGTTGCTGCTCTCCAGTATCACAAAATCTCAATTTCTGCTGACAGCTCTTTTCCCCATATTCTTACATTGCAGAGTTTGGTCGTCGCGTGAAGGAGCGAATGCACCACAACATTCCCCATCGCTTCACTGTGGGTCTCAACATGAGGGCTGCCAAATGTGCCGTCTGCTTGGACACTGTGCATTTTGGACGCCAGGCTGCCACTTGTCTGGGTTTGTCTCCTCTGTTTACAGAGAACGACGGGTGGTATTTCAGCGAGGGATTTATTGGCTACTCTTATCAAAATTGATAACCATCCTCTTTGAAACCCATCCACCGCATAATCTCACATGGACGTTTTTGGGATTGTAACCAGGCCTATTTGGAAAATATGTTAGAGTGTCAAAAAATAACATTTATTTTGTTCCAGAATTTACCATGAATAATCTTTATACCGGTAATTAATTATAATTGTGTGTGTGTGTGTGTCATTCTGTAGAGTGCCACACTCTTTGCCATCCCAAATGCTCACCATGCCTTCCAGCCACTTGTGGCCTGCCAGCTGAATATGCCACCCACTTCTCTGAGGCTTTATGTCGAGAGAAAGCAAGTTCCCCTGGACTACAGGTTAAGGAAGCTAGTGGACATGTTCGCTTGGAGGGATGGATGAAGCAGCCAAGGTTAATGGTTCACTCTTCCTGACATACTGGGCCATGGACAATGAATGTACCATGATGTGAAATTTGATATTAATCCTAAAGTTCTGAACTGATATTTGAATCCTTATTATTTTTCGTGTTTTACATAGAAATGGCAAGCGTGGTCAGCAGGGCTGGGAGACGAAATATGTGGTTCTTGATGGAACCAAAATATCAATCTACGACACGGAGCCAAGAGAAGGTCCAAAAATATTTTGGGGAAGATATGATAGAGACATCAGAGCAAAGTCAGTATCCAGTGCAAAACTAATTTGACATGTCGTTTTTAGACTGTGTCAATGCGGAGGAAGAGTTTGAGCTTTGTCTTCCTGATGGAGAGGTAACTGTTCATGGAGCTGTTGGAGCCTCTGAGCTCATCAACACTGCAAAGTCAGGTCAGCAGTTCATTGCCAGCTAATTGTCCCGCACTCTGAAGTATATCCACCTACCCGAGATTTGTCGGTCCACGTTTTCCGTGTGTTTGCTTCCAGACATCCCATACATTCTGAAGCTGGAGTCACACCCCCACACCACTTGTTGGCCAGGCCAGTCTCTCTACTTCATGGCTCCCAGTTTCCCGGACAAACAGCGCTGGGTGGCTGTACTGGAGTCTGTGGTGGCTGGTAGCCGTGGCTCTAAAGACAAAGGGGATTCAGACGCCGTAAGCGCTCAAGCTTTTGTCTGTGTCATTTCTAAAAATACATATTTTATGGCCATGTCAAATTGTAATGGAACTCAAGGGAAGTGTGTACTGTTTGTTGCGGTTGAAGTCAGCGTTACTAAATGCTCCCAACATTAGCCAGTGCCTTCATTTCTTCTTTCTCCTCTTCCGTCTTTCTCTCTCTTTGCATGTTGTCACCAACCACATCTTCTCTTTGTGTGTTTTGATCGTCCTTGTTAATGTCATTATGTGCTGTGTGTATCCCCATTCGACGCGTTTGCGTGGACCATTATAGGCAGGTGTTTCTAAAAGACAGAAGAACCTGTCACCCCTGGTTCAGGTACAGTAAGAAGCTGCACGAATGCTTGGGCTTCAGTGATCAACTGGCTGAGCATGTAGTTGCTGTACCTGTCCATGCATAGAACACTATCACAGCTCTGTGCAGGATAACGCAGAACCAGGCTGTTAAATGGTTCCGTGGTCGCTGTTTTAAAGTGGCCAAATGTGCACATAAAAAAGACTGTGCCAAATGCATGGGTCTGTTTGGAACTCTATACTTTTGGCCGTTAGCATGCTGTGCTATGCATGCGCCTGCAAGAGCCATGCTGCTTCAGCTCTTTCACTGAAATACACTTACACGTTCTTTGCCACCTTATTGTGCTTCGGAAAGAAGAAAAGCTATTTGTGCTCGGTTGGCATTTGCTACCAGAGCTCCGAACCAAAATATATATATGAAGGTATTTTTAGGAGATTTCCATATAGTTGCCTTGCCTCCCACACCTCTTCAACTGTCATGGTCCCCTTCGCAGTGCAGCATGCTCAGATGATTCATTTCCCCCTATTGCTGTTATAGATGCCGCTGTGACGCTTTTGCGTTCACCAAAGGAACAGTTACATATAAATAGTCTCATGAATAATTGAAGTACTGAAAATTGGAAGCGCCCCGACAACCGCATTTGTTTGCATAAATTACAATTGTATAGGGGTATTTGGTAATGCCGGTGATATATGTAAAATGTGACTCATTATTGTTTGTTAAGGCTACCATCTCATCTGTGGCAGCATGTTCTCCAACATTAATTGGGTTTTGCTGTATGTATTTCTGTATGAAGGTGATGTTTGAGAGCTGGCTGACATTCTTGATAAACATCTTTTGATGCCCGCCCCATTTTTTTCTCGTCACATCTTGTACTTTGCTGTCCTTACAGAAACTTCTGGGCAACTCTTTACTGAAGCTGGAGGGCGACGACCGCCTGGACATCAATTGCACTCTGCCTCTCACTGACCAGGTTCTGCCATAAACATTTAGTGCAAGCTTGTCGTTAGGCGGCTTCGCCATCCCGCCTGCAGGTTTTACAGCTACGGCCGTCCTTGTGACTCACCTTAGATTGTGCTGGTCGGCTCTGAGGAAGGATTGTATGCGCTGAACGTCATAAAGAACTCCTTAACCCACATTCCGGGCCTGACCGCCGTATTCCAGATTCAGATCCTGAGGGAGCTCGACAAGCTGTTGATGATCACTGGTTAGTCAGTGAAGCCATTCAGAAATGTTAATTCTTCTAATTGTCCCGTCCCCCCCAGTACGGTAACCTTTATTACCAAGTCATAGAGGTTTTCATTAATCATGCCCATGCTTCCCTTCATGTTTTAACTCTTTCAATATCCATTTCATATCCCGCAATATAAAGCGCATTTGTATGGAATGTGTGTTCCAGGAGAGGATCGGGCCCTGTGTTTGGTGGAGATCAAGAAGGTGAAACAGTCTTTATCACAATCCCATCTCCCAGCTCCACCTGACCTCAACCCCTTCATCTTCGAGACAGTGAAAGGGTGCCATCTATTCTCCTCTGGAAAGGTCAGTTAGATGACTTTTGTCAGATGGAGTAAAATCATCAGTTTGCAAAGATGAGCATTACCCCCCCAAAATTGTATTTTATTTTATTTTTTTCCCCTCCTTCACAGATTGACAATGGGATCTGTATCTGTGCTGCTATGCCCAATAAGATTACAATTCTGCGACTTAATGAAAGCCTCAACAAGTTCTGTATCAGAAAGGTAAGCGGCGCATACAGCCGAAGCTATGTTTAATTCTAGCAATGATGTGGGTGATATTGTTCAACTTTTGACTTGATTTACAGGAAATTGAGACCTCAGAGCCTTGCAGCTGTATCCACTTCACTGGCTACAGTATTATCATTGGCACCAACAAATTCTATGAAATTGAAATGAAGCAGTACGTGCTAGAAGGTTTGTCATCCGCCATGGCCTCTCGTCTACATTCGAGTGCTCTTGATATTAAATCGATTGCGCGTTCACTTCAACCTGACTGAGCCGCTTGACTAATGCGTGCGTCCATCCCCGCAGAGTTCCTGGATAAAAACGACGTGACGTTAGCCTCTGCTGTGTTTGCCGCATCCTCCCACAGCTTCCCCATCTCCATCATTCAGGTCACCACGGCTCCTCAGAAGGAGGAATACCTGCTCTGTTTCCATGGTGAGATGTTCTTTTCTGTGTGCCAGCGAAGGTGCCACAATGCCAATGCAGTAAAGCAAATCTCTTCACTTTCTCTCACCTGCTGCTGACACGTAAAATGTTCCCACCAACTTAAAAGAAGTGCTGATTTATTTTGACTTGACAAGAAAATGTTTTTATTGCAGAGTTTGGCGTGTTTGTGGACGCATACGGCCGCAGGAGTCGGACTGATGATATCAAGTGGAGCCGCCTGCCTCTGTCATTTGGTCAGTGAATCTTCATTGGATTATAATATTGCATTTTCTGTACTATTTCCGAAATCAGCATGCCATGTGATATTCAATGAGAGTTTGACCTTTCAGCCTACAGAGAGCCATACCTTTTTGTGACCTACTTCAACTCTCTGGATGTGATTGAGATCCAGGGACATTCTGCTTTAGGGTAAGCTTATTTTTAGAGACCGATGGGATTCTTGTTGTTGGTTGATGGCAAACGCACACAACCACACAGTACATAGGCTAATCCAGTGAATGCTATTAGGTACTGTATTAAGGTTTAGCTACTGTAATTTAGACCACACTGAGGGAATGTTTTTTCATATTTCTGCGAAAACCAATGTACGGAGCTTCTTTCTCTACTCTTTTCAGGTCCCACTCATACGCTCACCTGGACATCCCAAACCCACGTTACCTTGGCCCAGCCATCTCCTCCGGCGCCATTTACTTGGCGTCATCATATCAGAACAAATTGAGAGTAATTTGCTGTAAGGGCAACTTGATTCAGAACCAGGATGGCGGAGGAGACTTGCAACATTGCGGCTCCGGACGCAGGTGAGGACTTTGTTTTCACTCAGGGTATGGACTGCACTTTTTTTTCCTCCTTCAGCATTTTGTTTTTGTGCAAATGATGCAATGTCCTCATTCCAAATAAATTTTTGTGATTGATTGAGCCACTTCAGCTTCAAGCTAGATTTGGGTATTTGTTTCATCTGACGGGAGGGGAAAAAAAAACATTTAATTTATCTATCAGGGAGATCTTTTGATTGCCGAAGGAAAAAAAACTAAATCTTTAGTCAGTCTCTTGTTTTGGGTGTGGCGTTTGTCATTCACTTCTTGTTGGTGAGGGTTGGTCTGCTGACACCACTGATGGAGCTGGCACGGCAGGGCACAGGTTGGCCTGCACAGTTGGTGATGGTTAAGTTTGGCCTTAGTATTTAAAAAAAAAAAAAAAAATTATCAGTGAGAGCTGCATTTTCTTTTGTTTTGCAGGAGGAAGAGATCATTTTTTATATGTAATAAATCATGAGATAATTTAAATATGTAAATGTTGAAGGGGAGTTAATAAAGACTACATATGTGATTTTACGTCATGTGATTGTGGTCTATTACAATATGATGCTTGTTTTTGAGGAGTCAAACATAGTGCGTAGTGGTACACTCGGCTGACTTGCAGCTAGCGTGGGATTAAGTCCCGCTCAGTGAATGTAGGCATGCATGTTGTTGTGAATGCGAGTGGTCTCTGTGTGGCCTGCACTCGACTGGCAACCAGTCCGGACCAGTCTGCCTTTTGCCCACAGTCAGCTAGTATAAGAGCCAGCTTCCCTGCCACTGAACAGGATATGCAGTAGAAAATGGGTGGATGGGTGCTTGGGCTTCTGATGAAGTTAGCACTGGAAAAAAAAATGTGCTGATGTCGAAAATGGGCTTTGATGTCTGCCCGGAGCTTATCTGCTACTTTCCAAAGCCATTTGTATTGTATCTTTGACTCAGTTTAGCAACCTGAGTCCTGCATTGGCATACAAACAAATAGATTTTTGAGACTTTTTTAGAGGCGAATTTTGCTTTTAAGTGTATTACATAACCATTGTTCCCTGATTACTGTTTATTAACCGATTGTTTGATTAGTTTTGTTTATTGCTAAAAACAGCTTAACAACAATTAGGCAATATCACATGAGAGGGACTGAGACAGAAACCACAGAATAATTACTGCTGAGAGGATGTGGGCAATTACAGTTTACGAATGGATCGAAATGATTCATTTTAGTTTGACTTCCCCTCTCAAAAAGATGTATTTTTTTAAATGTCACAGAAACCTGGCATTTGAACAGGGGTGTGTAGACTTTTTATATTTATGCTACACTAGTGGCGAAAGTGCAGAACGACTCACTCACAGACACATTTTTTTTTTTTAGAAAAAGGCACATAAAATCTTTATGCAAATTCCACGATTTATTAGTGGGCAGGCATTCCACAGAAACCTAAACACAAGCAATGAAAAAGTACATTTTTCATAAAATGTCCCCTCGTGGAGCACTACCACAAAGCGGTGGATGAGTTATTTGGTTTCCCTTTACAACATCTGCCGAGTAGAACACAAAGCATTCCATTTTTCTGTAGAATTGGTAGCCTTGACTCGTCACCCAGGGCGCGCTTCCTTTTGTTCCTTTCCTCCTTCTCCCTGACAGCCCAAACAAACGCGGGCCTCCTTCCTACAACGAGCACATCTCCAAAAGGCTGGCAGGCAACCCCCTTGTCCACGGGGAGCCTGGCACACCCCACCGCTACCGAGAGGCCCGCACCGAGTTTCGGCGTGACAAGTCCCCCAGCCGTCCTCTGGAGAGAGAAAAGTCTCCCGGCAGGATGCTGGAGAACCGGATCATCGCATCTCCCGGCAGAGCCATGGCCGACCCTCGATTAGAGCGCTCCCCGGCAAGGGCCATGGCCGACCCCCGAATGGAGCGCTCCCCGGGGCGCGTGATGGATGTGCGCAGGGAGAGGTCACCGGGTCGATTCGAGGAGCGCCAGAGGCTTCATACTGGTTCTGGACGTACGCCCATCAACCCCGTTGCCAAGGTCAGTTGATCGCTTTAAATTTAGTCTCGGCCCATTTTCATCTCCTTTACCATACCATGTGGAGAAAAAAAAATTATACATAAAGAAGTACCTGGGATTGAATGCCTGGAATCTAACCCCCCTAAAAAAAAAAACCATCAAAAATCGTCCTTGTAATTGAATGAGTGAACTCATTCAAATTTTCATGAGACAAGGCACTTTTTTTTTTTTTTTTTGCATGAGAAAAATATCATCGGACACCACCAGAAAAAAAATATCCGTTCCCTGAAATAATGAGCATCTCAATGTCAATTTGCTCACAAAATGTAGTCACAAAATCTACCTTCTCTGCGTGAGCCGTGGGCCTGTTAGTTGAACACCGTTGACGGAATGGCAACAGGTTGATACACAGGTTAATGGTACCTTCTGCCACCTTGCGGAAGAGCATTTCATTGTGCTGCTTGTCACTATTCTGCCATGGCATCGGTAAACCAAGATACTGTACATTATTTGTGGTAACTATTACCCCATCAATACATTTCCATTTACATGTCACTTGAGCTCTTGCAGCACCCAAAAGTTAATGGCGCAGTGGTTGCAAATCATGGCAGTTGTAGACGTTTCTGTTTGACTTCAGGTGCTGTTGAGAATCTATTTTCACTCGGAGTGATGGTGGGTGGACGGTGGCACAATGACAATATTGAGCATAGTAATTTACGAGTCAATGCAGCGTAAACATGATGAAGAGCGTTCTTTAAAAGTGGCTTCTTTGCAGTCTTTTGGAACGAGCCAGAAGCTCTTTCCAGTATTTATGCTAATTTAATCTGTCTCCTGGCGGCAGCTTGGTATTTACGATGAATATTTACGAATAGTCTTCTCATGTTTGCAAGAAAGCACCCGTGTGTATCAGCCAAAAACGCTAGATTATTTACTGCTTCGCCCCCTGTGTCCAACTGTGAAGAAACTAGGGTACCAAAATGTGTGTCTGTGGTTGTTGTTGTTCACTAATGGATTTCATTTATTACTAACAATCTCGAGACAAACTATACTCGGGGTCATACAAATTGGATTTCAGACCACCAAAATTCTCATTAACTGTAGTATGTACAGTTATGTTGTGAGAAATACACGGTTCTTTGCAAAAGTATTCACACCCTTGGATATTTTTAAACCAATTTCGTTACATTACAACCTTTCATTTAAATCATTTTTGGACTTGTGAGGATAAAGCAGATTGGAAAATGGATCGATGGATACATGAGAAAATGTGTTGAATGAAAATTTGGCATTTGCAAATATGCATATTCATCCCTTTGTTAATGGGTGGCTCCCTAAAGAGCCCTGATGCCACCCATTACCTTCAAAAGTTACATCGTGAAATCTATTTGTGGGCGGTCTGAAAGTGTTCAAAGTGATCTTTCAGTGTACACGCACGTTTCATGAAAGGCCACGTGACAGCTGCCCACCAAAACTTGAATCAGAGCGGCAGCATAGAGATCGAAGGCAACGCTGGAGGAGCTGCAGTGTTCCACAGCAGAGGCTGGAGTCATTTCCGTTATTTCTCATGGTTTAAAAACAAAATAGTTTTAGAACCTGAACAAATTGGAGGTTGGCCAGATGAGAATGGGTTCCTTCACTATATTGCTAATATTTTCTCTTGACTCTGTTGGATAGGTATGGGACCAGTCGTCTGTTTAGGAGCCTCTTCTCCGACAGCGAGGAGGTCCTTCTTCGGGAAAGGCAGAAGAGGACCAAATCGGAGAGAATGTCACCAAGTCACAAGGAACCACTGCCACGCATTTGTTTTGATTGGCATCCAAGTAGGCAACCCCACCCAAAAAACAACAAATAGCTTTCGGAAATAAGTGGCCATTGTTCGGGGAATAAACCGATATCCTAAATGCCATCTGAACAACTTTTCAAGCAGGGTGTTTTTACTGTGTTTTGGGGTAGCTCTCCCTTTCAGTTCAATGACGTTTAAAAGAAAAGAAACTAAACTTAATGCAATTATGCTCGAAAAGCTCAGCTGTAGCAATGCAAACTCTCACGTGGATTGCCGAAATATTAACAGAACCAGTTACAGGTCGAAAGAAGAAAAAAAAAAACACACACGGGCTCTGTCACGGCCTACGTAGCATTTAGTTTTTCGGAGCATCTGCGACTGTCAACACACAATCATTAAGAGCTACTTACAATCATTCACTACTAAATTTCTGTTTGACTTCACCATATTGGTACTGGTTAGTGAATCCGTGTATTTAAAAAAAACAAACAAACAAAAAAAAAATCTGAACTAAGTCAATAAAGCCGCAAAGCAGAGGCTTGTCTTCCTGGAGATAGGTGAGAATTAAAAAAAAAAAGTGCACTAGCCGCAATGCCGTGCAGCAGGACCTTTCTAATCCTTCAGAATGCTATCTGACTGTAAATAGACAAGACATAATTTTCTATACATATATATAAATATATATTGAGAAGGAATTTCAAGGCTGGATAAGCCATGTCTATTTTTGTTAAAGGAAAAAAGTGATAACATGTTCTCTTGAATGTCTAATGAGTATTCTTTTAATATGTGCAAATGTCTCTAAAAGTGAGTGATTGCATTCTGGCTCTGACTAGTGTAGTGCCTCCATTTGTCAATGGGAAGCCTCCATTACAAAAAAAAAAAAGAAGGAGATGAAAGCAGCATTGTTTGACTTTCCCATCCCGTCGATAAAATCCAAATTAGTGAAAGTAGTGGCTGAAAATAATTTGGTTCACCCTAGTTTGGAATCAACTAGTGTATTTTCCTCTGCTTCTGCCTCGTTTGGTTTCTGTTTAAATTCCACCATTCAGCAAATGACGAGGGGAAAAAAAACACCTTTTCACATTCTGAGTTCTGTGTTTTTAAAGGCAGTCCTGATTGTGTAAAATGCCAGTATAGCACTCAAATGAAATCGATTTTGGATTCTTTGTTGTGCTTCGTTTTGATTTGTGTAAATCCTAATGTGACCTGTGACATAAGTTACATTGTGTTGACACAAAATAGATGCTGTATTTGATGTGTTTTGACAAGAGTCAATCACTGAACATGAAGACTTCTCAACTTCATGACGCTTTGATAGTTTTCAATGTACAAGCTTCCTTGAATGTATTGAAGTTGATCCATTTGGTCGAAAAGGTTTTTTTAAGCAATTAATGAAACCAAATGCACACATTTCCTGCTGATCAGAATACAGTGAAGCTCCGTTATATACGTGGGATTGGTCAGAGCCCTGCCAGGCGTAACAAATGTACACAACAGACACCCCAACCTCCTCCTAAAAAAACAGGACTTACATGTAAATGAAACTCCTCAACTCTCCTCAACTGCAACATAGTTCCGTGATGACCCCCAAAGCAATACTTTTATCGCATCACTACTGCTATTGCTATGGCCTGAGTACCGAAACGAATAATGAAGTGAATTCCCAAATGCAGGACGTCCGGGTTTTCACTGTTTAAAAACCAATTGTTTAGCCATCCTTGTTTTATTTTGATACTTTTAAGTTGTACATTTCATTTAACTGCTTCGATGCTGGATATGATATCGATGTTTGCTAACAACCAATGTTTTATTCCAGTTCCCCTGTGCAGATTTGGTCACACAATATTAAATATATCTATTGACTTTGAACATGATAGTTGTTCGTCTGTGTGTGCCCTGCGATTGACTGGCGACCGGTTCAGGGTGTCCCCCGCCTACTGCCCGACGGAGACAGCTGGGATAGGCTCCAGCCTCCCCGCGACCCTTGTGAGGATAAAGCGGATTGGAAAATGGATGGATGGACTTTCAACATTCGTGTGCGTATTTCCGACATTGCCTCGCTTGGGCTTCCTTGATCGTCTCAAGGCTTTAATGGCCGGCAGTAATGTTACCATTTGTCCACGTCCATTAAGTTTCAAGAGGTCGTTCTATTTTTAGGCACACACGTACATCCCAGCGCTCAGCCTGTAGGGATACAATGGCCCGTCATTCCAGCCACAGTAGCTGCTTTGGCTGCTCACAAAGCACAAAGGGAGGGGCTGCTTTCAACAATAGCATGTAACCCCCCCCCCCCAACCCCTCCCCCCAGTCTCCTTCGGGTAACAATAACTGTGACCTGGCTGTTCACATTATGCTTGCGATATGACACCCCTGACATCTGCCGCGAGGCCATCAAACTGCGTTTTATTTGACAGCGACTGTCGGGAGCGCCTCTCTCGATATAGCTCGCGCACACGTGGTGTCCACTCGTCATCCTGGCTCATTCTCACACACTGTCACTTTTCTTGACCTGGGAACCTTGACTCAATCTGAGAGGACCTGTTAATGAAGCGTGCTCACATTGTAAGGACGTGTTTATTTAGCTGCACATATTTGAACGGCTACTTGTGATGTCGCAGAGCTCGTTGGTGACAGCGAGCATGTGTCTCATGCCTCCGTTGTCTTGTTCTGTTCTGGGGTTTCCAAATACAGTGGTTTTCAAAATTTTTTCACCAAGTGCCGTTGCACCAAATAACGTAGTTAGCTCTGTAAGCCCAAAAAATTAAGCCACTGTCAGAGCAGTTTGAATATAAAACAGCAAAATACAAGAAAGAATGGAATGAAATCATATTGGCATTACATTTCATGAGTACAGAGCAATAAAATGCCGTTAACAAGTACAAGCTGTCCGAGAGACATAAAACAATTACCAAAGGGGGGGGAGAAAGAACGTGAAGCCTGACAGGTTGCCGAAATGTGCCCCGATTTCTCAGATGAAAAAGAATAACAAGAAAGGGGGAGGGGGAAACAAACAGCCCCAAACTGTGCTCCTGGAAGAGAGGAGCTCAGTTTAAAATTGTTTTTAAAAAAATATGGAATAAATATGTAAATCCAAGGGTGCTGAGCCGCAAGTATGCGTTGGTGTTAAGTACATTTCTGGCATGAGTAGCACAAATGAACATGTAAAATGTGCCAAATCGTCACTGTCTGCGACAAACAGCTTTTTGGGGGTATTGGCTCTTGTTTGGTGTTCTTTCATGTATGGAATGCTTGAAGTCAAGTCAGCTTTTATTGTCAAATATGCTCTATGTGTAACATACAGCACAGATGAAATTACGTTCCTCTCTCAACCACAGTGCAAACATGTAGTGCATTGAACACACACAGCTAAAATTTACATTAAAATTCCATAAGACATAAAGTCTTCTGTAACAAGGAAGAAAACGGGACAGAATGTCACTTTTAGTCTTTGAACAAACGACCGAGTCCGTCACCAGACTGTGGATGAACCAAACACTTGCACAATAGGCTGGCGCCTCTTTCTCGTGCTGTTCAGTAGCCTGGGCACACAGTGCTACAGGATGCCATTCCTCTTCTCAACAACTAGTCTAAAAATGGGGCATCATTTTAGATGGAAACAAACGAGCTTTCCAACTGGGTAAATATTTGTTGGCAAGGAGAACCAAAGTTTATTTTTATTTATTTTTTTAAACCAAAACACTCACCCAAGCTTATTGTTTTGCGACTGTCATCCATACAACAATACATTGGAGCTTTGACGTCTAATGTATGTGTCGGAATACGCTTAAACCCAATTTTATCTTACTTCCAATTGCATTTGGCCCATCTGGGTGGTAATAGCGGGCTCTAAAATGAACCAACATCATCCACAAAATGATTTGAGTTTACTGAATACAGTGGCAGATTGTGTCCACGGCAAATGATTCTGCGAAACAAATCCATGCGTAACAGTCACAGATGACATAGTAAAGCCAGTGTTCCGTGGACACCGAGGGTGAGACTTTAACCTTCGCTCTGCTTTGGATATTCTAATCATGTTATTCAGCTGTCTGCTAACAGTGACAAAAGCAAATCTTGCGGCGGTGTGTTTGTGTGCGCAAGGGAAGAGCGCACATGAAATAGTATGTGGCCGACAAAGCGCGTCGAAGCATCGTTTACCTGTCACTTCCTAAAGTGGACATCGTTTATAAATATCATCCAGTGGAGATGACAGCTGGGAGGCTACAAAAGGCCACCCACCTTCTCTTCATTGTTCACTGGCATCATTGTTGCTCTCACCTCCCAGCTGCTCAACCATGGTAAGTCACCCTGTGTATGTTAAGAGACAAGAGATGCTGCCTTGAAGTGCGCAGACTTTTTTGTTTCCTTCTCAAATTGAACCGCACGACATTTTTTTGTGGGGGGATTACTCAAAAATGATTATTTGGCATAATGCTTTTGAGCGATATATTGCTACCTTTTTATCACCCTAAAATTGCTTTTAAGTCGCATTATCTTAATGGCATCATTGCCATGGTATATGTATTGTTATTTCATATTATTCACTGCAGTAAAAAAATACATCATCAAAAAGTATTTTGGACTGTTTTTTTACAATAACAAGAATGATGATAATATTATGCCTTGCTATGAGCCTTTGCGACCAAAGCGGGATGCATCCTACCTCTAGCCCAGGTCATGATATTCATCATTATGAATTCCTTACCTTTGTTCCACAGGCGCCCAAAAAACCCAAGAAGAGAACAGGAGAGGGAGCCAATTCCAACGTGTTCTCCATGTTTGAGCAGGCCCAGATTCAGGAATTCAAGGAGGTAAGTTTAAACTGCACAACCTGAAACCAACGGGGTGAATGGAAAAGATTACGCTTCTATCACACACAGATCCTTAAAATTACTTTCCTGCTTTGTGGAAGGAAGTGTTATATAAATATATTATCTCACCAAGTTGGATGACCACATTTGACCGTCTTTGTCATATCGGTTCAAGGGCGTAATCAGAAATTTGTCGGCAGGGCGTGCGGCTTGACACACAAGTACTTTTGCATGCTTGTAAACCCCTCTGCAACTGAGAAGACATTGTTTGTCATACTATCGGCAGTCAGGGTTTCACGTAATAAAAATGTTCAACACACTCATAAAACAAGCAGGATAAAGTCTAAATCAATGGCAACATTTTGCTTCGCTTAATTTACTCGATAATACCATATTATTTGCCGTGACTTTTCTTTTGCCTACCCTTGCATAGTCTACTTCTATCTCATGCGTCGATTTGTTCGCTAATAGCCAATCAGTGTGATCAATTGTCATAAGCAATGATAAACAATGGCTTCTCAGCCACGTTATTTACCTGGTATGAGTGTCATGATTTTAACTGACTGCAAAAATCAAAGGTTCTTTACTTTAGACAGATTCTATTAGAGTTTGCAATTAGATGAATTGTAAGATTGTTTTTTTTTTTTTAAAAAATGCAATTCATCTCAATGAATTGTGGTCAAGGGATCCAAGAATACTAAACCCATGTGAAAATGATAGAAAAGTCACAAGTGTCACAATTTTCCCCTAGATGAGGGGTGGCCAGAGAGTCCCCTGATCACCACGTAGCTCCGCCCCTGCCGTGTTTGGACCACAAACACCTGTCGGCATTTCAGTCCATCTCAGCCTTAACAGCAGCTCCCTGCTCGCATGCGCTCGGCCAAATATTCAGACGGGTGTCATCGGCGATTAGGTTGCACACCAAATGCTTCTCATGTGCCGCATGCCAAATTTAAACCCCATCCCCTGGGCTTCAGACCTCAACAGCCGTGGGCCACAATGGAGATCATCGTGTGTTTAGTTTTTTTTTCAACAATCTCGCGCGTGTGTGTGTGTGTGTGTGTGTGTGTGTGTGTGTGTGTGTGTGTGTGTGTGTGTGTGCACCTCAGGCATTTACCATCATGGACCAGAACAGAGACGGCTTCATCGACAAGAATGACCTGAGGGACACTTTTGCAGCGGTCGGTGCGTTTACATACTTTATCCTTTTGGTGATGTGTTAAGATTTAAACACACACACACACACACATACACACACACACACACACACACACACACACACACAAAAAACATGATATGATAGCTTTTCATCGGTCAGGGAGCCGAATTTAGTCATCTAAGTCAAAATGGATTCCACACACCTCACCGTAAAGCAGCAGAGCCTGATTGTTCTGATGATAAACACAATTTTACAAATATTATAATTAATAGAGATAAATGATAAGTAACAGAGTAAATTATTATACAATATCTACTTAAGTGTCCTTGTGTTTGGTGCTATAGGTCGCCTGAATGTGAAACAGGAAGAGCTCGACGAGATGCTCAAAGAAGCTCCGGGCCCAATCAACTTTACCGTCTTTCTTACTATGTTTGGGGAGAAACTGAAAGGTAGCGATTTAAAAAAAAAAGAACATCATTTTTTGCATGTCAAATTGACTCTAACCAGTCTGTGTGATGCGTGTGTCCGTCCATGTGAAAAGGTGCTGATCCAGAAGAGACCATTCTCAATGCGTTCAAAGTGTTTGACCCTGAGGGGAAAGGAGTGCTGAGGAAGGACTAGTAAGTGCTGACAAACTCGTGTGCATCGATGGTACACAGTAGGGGGGAAAAAAGTGCATTCCTTCATGTCTCCGCTGTCCACAGTGTGACACAGATGCTGACAACACAAGCCGACCGGTTCAGCCCCGAAGAGGTAACCCGCCGGTCCACGTTGCGACAGGTGAAGGAGCGGGATGAAAATGTGTTCTTTTGTGTACCGTAGATGGAGCAGATGTTCGCTGCCTTCCCTCCAGATGTGGCGGGCAACCTAGACTACAAGAACCTGGTGCACATCATCACCCACGGCGAGGAGAAGGACCAGGAGTGAATGTCCAGTGCGGGGACACGTGGAGAGAAATGGACTGTGATTCATTCATGCAGCGGCCATGCTGTTGTCGTCGTTTCTGTTCTACAAGCTCACGGAAAAGGTTCAAGATAAGAGCGACACAAAAACGGACTGATCCCCCCCGACAACAACCGTTAACATGCATTTCCGATTAGCCACATACATTTCTCCTTTTTATTGCTTACAATGAAAATATCCATCCAGCCGGTGGTTGTTTGTCAAATAAAAGTTTTCAGAGAAATCGTTTCTGAATCTGTTTCTTGAAATGTGGAAAAAGTGAGCCGGACACCGGAAGAATTTGAAAGGACTACGGAGGAATACTTCATTAATAATAACATTTTAGCAGCTTTGCAATGAAGTGGCCCACTTTTTTTTTCTGTCAATTCTTTCTAAATTCCTGCCATACACATTGATGGAATAAATTCAGGGCCACAAGGTTATTGCCGCTACCAGTTTCACACCATGTTAGGTAGTGAATGTGCTTGGGGTTGGAGAAATTCCACAGAGATCAAGATGAAACCTTCATGCCTTCATTGACATTGTGTGCCTCTATGTGTGTGTGTGTTGCATGCTGGCATCAAAATGTTTGTCTCCTGACGCAGAGGGGCTTTGGCGAGACAAAAGCCTGTTGTTATTTTAGTGCAGTGATGTGAGGAGGGTAACGTTATACTAAGAGCACGGGTGCAAAATCTCACAATGGGATACCACCCACTCATCCATGTCACCGTTTACCTGCCATACTCAAAAAGAAAGTGCATTTTTAAAGGATGTTTTTTCTTTTTCCTCACGTTGTTCTTTTTCGAACTTCTAGGGTAGTTTCAGAGCCATGACACGGGTGTTTATAAGGCGATTCCGCAATGCCAGAACCAAGATTTTCTATTGTAGTCAGTTTTTACTTTTGTTTTGAGTTTTGTTTTGATAATTCAGTTACTTTTCATTAGCTTTTAGAAAAAAATTGTTCGTTTTTATTTATTTATTTTTTGTTTATTTTTATTAGTTTTTGTATTTGTTTAGGCTTTTTTTTTTAATCTGGAATTTTTTGTCCAGTGCAATATATACATTTTTTAAAAGGTCATTTTAAAGCACTTAATGTGTAAGGTAAAATAAATTACAATTCTCAAACAACGGTGTGACCTTCCTTCTTCTGCATGGACATACATAATCAAAATGTAATTATAGTCGAAATTATAGTTAGGGAAAAAAAGCATGGCTCTGGAATTTTTAAAACAATGAATCAGTAATACAGGCTGGCCATTGCCGGAATGGAGATATTTTAGACTACATGGTGAGTCAGTCTCCACGGGGGCCTAAGGTTGCCCAACCCTGCTCTAAGAGGTCCCTTATACAGTACAATTTTAAAGTGAATTTATAAAAAAGCAAATGTATTGTTTCACCAATTGATGACAAAAATCGTGCAAGTTGACAGTGGCATCAACGGTCGCCACTTCCCTCATACGCCGTTAGATGGTGCAAGCTCCTATGTGTTGAGCTGGTGGGCAGCACAGGGCGGCTGTCGGGCTGGCAGGGGGGCTGGCTCCTGCTCTAACTGCTCGGGAGATTCTCCTCTCCGGGGCAATCTGGCGATGAGTGCTGTTAGGGAGTGTGCTGAAGGGGCAACTTGAAAACTTCGCTGCGCCCGTGCAGCACATTTGAGCCAGCGGACGCTACATCGGAGGAGCGGCCAGCCCAAAACGGTGCTCGACTGAGCGGGAACGTCGCGGGGTTTCTCTCAACAGCGCTGATTTCCGGCCAACATGGATGATTTAGGTAAATCTAGCCTAGCGCAACATTTCAATAACATGCCTGCGTGCGCTGGCGCTTTAGCAACCTTCGTGTACCCGAATACGTGGTTAAGCGGCCTTGTTTGTGTGATGAAAACGTATATATGTCCCAAGTTTGTGTACGAAGCTGAGAAAAGGCCCCGTGTGGTCATTTAATTAAATGTTCCCTTCAGGTACGTGACGAAAAGTCCACGAATTTTTACACACCTTTGCTCTCTTGTGTTAACAATCAGTCGCCACTTCAGGTCCTCGAACTTTTAATGAGTACAGCCAGTAATTTGATTGTAACATTTGATTAGAATCTGTTTGTGTTGGGGGTTCGACTGGAGGTAGACGACAAATTGAGAGCAAGATTGGCATTCACAGGCTACGAAAACAACCAGGCATGTTTAAAGTCAATAATTAACTATACTGTCACAGAAGTGGTGCGTTTCTGTTCAAGCCCAGCTGGAGTTGAATGCTGCCGTCCATGTTTCCTTTTTAGTCTGTTGCTCGCACCACATGTTAACAGTTACTGTATTTCTATTTAGGATCAGCCAGTAACTTTGTGTGATCTCTGTAAATATTTTAAATCAAATACTCCCTTGTGTTAACGGGAAAAACTGTGCTGTAATTAAAAAGGAGAGGGAAACCTCCGAAGTAGGCTAATTAAGCCACCAGCATGTTGAGACTTTTTTTTTTTGCCACGCTGACTTTGGTAATGTGTATTTACAAGTCTTGCGTAAAATTAAGTTTAGAGGGAATTTCTGAAGGGATTTTGTTTGCCTTTGCATTAGCATGAAGAAAATCAATATAAATGGACATTCTATCAAGTGTTTTACTCTCATAATTTGGACATTCCTATCCAAAAGCAGAGCTACTATTTGGATAGGGCCACGCCTGTCGTTGCTAACGTGGTGGGGGTGACACTTTACAAAGAATATTAGTCATTCTATATCCATTCCATGTTCATGGATAGCTCCTTCGGCTTACATGGCACGCCTTGAAGTGGCTGCTTAAAAAAGAAAAAGAAAAAAAAAAAGGTTGTCACGCAACCCAGTATCTCGTCTGTGTCACAGCGTTGTAAATAATATCATGCTTTTGCCTGCGGTCTCAAAAGTTATAGTTTCACATTGGGTAGTATGTATCGGGCTTAGTGTTTTGTCTGCTGTCTGGTTGTAATTATCCAAACAGCACTTTGGGAGGTGAAATGGTCGATCCACCACCCAGATAAGAGCCCCTTTATGTATTTTTAGCAGACAAGAAGAGTCCCTCTTTTCAAGTGATGAGCCAGCAGCAACCTGAAACCTTCCAGTGGCCTGCAGACACCTCTCTTTGCTCTCTTTCACTTTGGTCTCGGATCCCACGAGGCAGCTTTGCATTCTCCTCCTCAGGCTGCACAGGAGTACACGCTGGATTGTTGAAATGTGTCGTGTGACCCAGCCATGGGAGCGAGGTGTTAAGCCACATGAAAGCATTGTGCCACAGCCATAATTCATGCTCCTCCTTGCTTCACGCACCCTCTCTCCATTGAAGCCTCCAGGTGGCCAGCCACACAGGCCACTGTCTATTGACAGTTTAAAAGCTGGCAGAGTAGATCAATGCAGATTGTAAATTTTGGTCGTCGGCTTTCTCTCAAGACAGGGAAACTGGAAACATCGAGCGGAGCGATGATTTGAATTGCTTTGATGTTGACACAGATGTGTTTAATCTTCTCGTGATGCCGTGACATTGCTCAAGGCAAACTTACATTGACCTCGCCTCCGCACTTTTTCTTCTGCCAAAGTCAAACTCAGGCTATGCACAAGACACGGCTGTCAAATGGACTCCTTTCTCTGCGTGTGATGTGTACTACTTCTCATCTTTGTTAACTTCTCATTGTGATTTGCCACGCTGTCATTATAGTGGCAGCGTTTTGATGTGAGGCAACTCCCCAGAGCTCAGCCGCCGCAGCGTTGGAAATGTCTCTCACAGAGTACTTCTTATACGAGAACTGATGTAGCCTAGATAGTCTTGTCTCTAAATTTAGGTTGGCAAATTGTTTACGCCAATAGAAAAGCTGCAGAAGTGACATGTGGTTACTTGAGATTTGTTTTACTCACTTTTGCTTTTCTTTTTATAGCCCTGCCAAGTGTAAAATTGTAAAGGTAGGAGTTACTGTTTTAATAGTTGGTAGTTTGGCAAAATGTGCGGAAATGAGACCCAATTATGGAATGTTAAAGGAATTTTGGAGAGATAATAATGATATTGAGAGCATTTTTAAAGCTTTTTAAATGCATGAAAAGCAAGTATTTTCTCATTTCTGCTCTCCATTTTGTCAAATTTTCTGACAGCAATATTGTAAGTCTGCCATCAAACAACTTGACTTCCTATTTGGAGTTGGACTTCAAGTAACGTTGCCCTTCTATGTACAAGCCCGCACTGGATGAATGTAACTTGTGAGATTTTGCAGGAATCCCTTTCATTCATTCCTGCGGAGTTTTCTCCATCTGTTTAACTTTGAAGTAAACTTGCTGAAGGGCTTTGAGCCATATGTTGGTCGACACACACACACACACACACACACACACACACACACACACACACACACACACACACACACACACACGTGCTCTTGAGATCACAGTTAGCTTGCGTGGACAATCTTAGTGAGCGGTGACAGCTCGTCAGCCAGCCATGTCGCTTTATGTGGGTCCTGGTACTCAGTGGCTTGATGTAGGAACACAACCAGTAAAATAATAAATCACATATTCAGGCCCTGATGTGGAAAAGCCAACATCTGTTAGCTGCATTGTGGGTACATGGCAGATTTTAGTAAGCTCTTATTTGTTGTGGCTGCTCCTCAACTTGCGAAGGGCATGATTTGTGACAGGAAGTGCCATGAGAGAGCTCCGTACCGTGGTGGCAGTCAAGTGCATTGTGTGCCGCGAACCAACACTGCAGGTTACAAATGCTGTGAGTCACTCCCTCCCTTTTTCGGTGGACTTCCTCAGTGAGATATCTGAGCCCACAGGGGCAAATCCTCATATCCGAAAATGTGTCCAGATGTGTGCTCTGCTTCCCTCGTGTGCCTCCAGGCTACCAGATTTTGAAGCTAATGTTACATTTCAAGAATCAATAAATAAAAGCAGCTCGAAGAAAAAAAAGGGAGTCTTCGACCGAAACACTTGACATGAGTGTGGTAGCTTTTATGTAGTCGGCAAAACCTCTCATTTCAAACAAACTCTTTGACCTGTTTAGATTCAGAATCTGTGTTCTACATTACAAATAATGGAAATTGTACCGTTCCAGGGTCAATGTTCTCCATATTAACTGTACAGGCATTTATTTATTTTTTAACAGAAACCTTTTTTTACATTCTTAACGCATACGTGTTGTATTTGAAGACTCAAAAGGGGCCTATAATGTTATATAGACTTTATTGTTTTTTAGTTAAATCGTTGGGTTTTTAAGTGCTTGTCTACCTTTCAAGTATGGCATTATAACACCCCCCCCTGAAAAAAATGTTAGTTTTCTCCATATTTCTGAAAATGTGTACGTTATGAAACAGTAGGGCTAATTTGAGAGACCCCCCCCCAAAAAAAAAGAATAATTTTCAAGGGGTGGCCACCAAAGAACTGTTTGTCCAAGGCAAAAGGTAAGCAAAGCTGCAGTGTTACCTTTGATTAGCATTAGCTATTGCAAGGTGTTGCCAGCAGTAGTTTCTGACAATGTTCGGCTAAGTTGTCAACACCGTCAGTGTGTGCTGTTTGTGTGTTTGGCGATGCCTGTTTCGTGCGCCAGAAGAGGAGACGGCGGCAACCGTCAGTTCCTCTTCCTGCCCTACTACGGTCATCATGATATTTCTCCTTTTTGATTCCCCCCCCACCCCTTTCCAATTGCCACATAAATTATGGTTGAACTCTGAACGGTATCACCTTATCAGTCTTCCGGTGTCAATCTGGCACCAGGTACAAGTAGATTGGTCACGCGAACAGGCATGCTGTGCAAAGGAAAACCTTTAGCTTCGACCCCATGATTCAGTGACTCCTCATGCTTCAAAAGCATGCTTTTGACAATTTGTCTTCCACATGGTCCAAGAGCTTATGTTCATTGTGGTGTGCGGGGTGAGATAAGCCGCGGCTCTTATATCAGAAAATGTTGGCAGCGGGTTTAATAAAGGTACAGCGATAAAGGCCTTTGATTAATGGGGAAAGATAAAGGATTCCCTCTGCCAAGTGGGACGAGCAAAGACGAGGGCTATTGTTTTCACACCTGTTTGTCGCTTGTTGTGTCGCATTTTTATTGGAGGCTGTTCCTAATTGTTCGAAATTATTGATTGCCCACATAGGCAGGAGCTCCAAATGTGTCAGAGTATCAATCAAGATTTTGCAGTCCCGTGAAGATTATTCACCTCCGCATACAAGGCAGATATGGTGCAGCTTGGCACACGGCTGATTGTTTTCCAGCGGAGTGGTTTGCTTCTGCATTACCGTCACTGTCCTCTCACTTCACTTCCCTGTGTCCTTGTCCTCCTGGAGGGGACAGAGAGCAGCTTGTTTCCGAGCCTCTGACCTACTTTACTGGAGGAAATACATAACCAGACTCAACTGATTGGATGTCGGAGAAAAAAAAAATATATCAGGCCATCTTTCCACCCCATTGTTTTATGCACTCCAGCTTCCACACAAGTCTCACCACAAAAAAAATAAATAAAATCTTAATTTCTCAAACTATATTTTTCGTGGAAATACATTTGACACAATAACATTTGTAGTTTCCCATCACAGACCAAAATGTTCATGGGCCGAAGCATTTTTGCGGCCCAAAAATATACCATCAAGAAAAAAAAATGGCGTTCATGTATCAATTTTCCTCTTATCGAGTACTCGTTCAAAATGCTATTCTTATTAAAATCCCACACTCTATAATTTATCGGCCCTCGGTGCGATGATGTCCTTTATTGGCAGACGCGCATCAGTGATTTAAACCTCCTGTTTGCTTATCATCTAAAGAAGAGCCCTCGGG